CTAAATTTAGAAGACATGGAGATATAGTGTAACGTATGTACGGGCCACGTTAACATGCACGTTGTTGACGTATATAAAAATTTAAAAATAATGAACATGACCAGGAAAAGTAATTTTAAAGTCAAGACTGCTTATGAAACTTCAGGCAAGAATGTAACGCGTTATAAACATTCCATAAGAAGTTACTGCATTTAGCCTAGGGACACTTACAAATATGTGGCAAAAGCAACTGGAAAGCATATACATTTTAAGTACAAAAAATCATTAAGTAAAATAGTTGAACTCGCCTGGATTATTTTTGAAAATTAGATTATTCAGTGGACGACATATATAACGCCATTCGTGAGGAGTAGTAATGATACAAAAGTATCCAGGATAAAACATGCAGTATGGCAATTAATTCCAGAGTCCTTGATGCTGTTGACGTTTTTGCCACTCGCTCGGATCAGAACAACCGAATGAATCCAGATAATTGTGCGGTCACCATTGAACGAGCCATCTAAAATGACCTTATGATTGCAGAAAACTTATGGCTGAAACTCACCGTATGTTTTTAGAGAAGTGTCATCCTTGTTGTTTGGCAATGGAACTCGAGAATATGAAACTAGGCAGGCAGTGGTCGGAAGAAGAGATATTACAGGATAGTGCATAGTTTAAAACAGGATGAGGTAATAAGATAAGGAACACTGAATATTAGATCCAGGTAACTATTCAATCCTTGATTGCATTGTTAGTCAATGTATATTTACGCTATTTACAGGTCGTATTTGCTAGAGCTTGATGTCTAAACAAGTCTATGTCGCTGAAGCATGTAAATGCTATTAAAGCTTGTTAACGAACCATCAAAGCTAATTAGTTAATATAGACGACCAGTTTTTATTATCGAATGAGCTAGTAAGTTATGTGAACTAATAGATATAACATTACGATAATATATGTGACCATTAATCAAAGGACTATTAGAATAGTGGGTTTACAAAAATTAAATCCGATTGAGAAGGTTAAGGTGGAAATAAGGATTAACAATAATAGGTTGCGTTTCTTTAGTTGGGCTCACCAATGTAGAATTATGGTCTACTATAATATTAGTACTGCTCTAATAATAGACCTAATCCTAAATTTGTAGATTTGTCATGATATAACTGCCTAATCTATAAGATCTTACGTGGAAGTCACACCATCGACTACACCAACTCACTGTATCGCATCAATTACCAATACATGAAGTAGAACAAGGTTAGGCTAGAGAAAGAACAATATATTTAATATGAATAGAAGATATAAAGTAACACTGAGATGGACCACGCCTGCATGGCCGAGCCATACCACTCGATCAACTCCAGTTCATTCAATTCATTGTTCGCGCCTTCTCCATTGTTAGGTATTTCTCCGCGTTAAATATTGAATATCTATTTCCTGAGTAGTCTCGTGTTCACAGCTTTGTGGATTGTGTGGCTATTGTCCAATGCCACTACACCGCCTCAAGGTGGGCAGCAAACAAAAAGGTTTTGCCCCTTTGGAAATGAATCCATGTTGCAAAAATATAATAATCTGGTGCTCATTTAGATGAAAGCCAATATTATTTTGGTGGCAATTTTATCCGTAGTTCTAGATGAGTTAGAAACGTAGTTAATTAGGCGATAGTTATCTACGTCCAATCTGAATCTTTTTTTAGGGTAAGGGATAATGTACCTACTTTTCCATCGCTTAGTGAAAATGCCAGAATCAAAGGATAGATTAGAAATCCTATCAAGCGGTATGGAAATGTTAGAACCCACATAATCAATGAAATTTGCCAGTACTCCATCATAACCACTTCTGAGTGAAGGTTTTAATGAGCTTATGGCACCTCTCACAATACTCTGCGTCAATTCTATATCTGCCTATATATATGCGTTGAAGCTGCAGGTTATGCGTTCATTATGACTATATCTAGTGAATCTCTGTGTAAATGTGTTGTTAAGCAGCTGACATAGCTCTGCTAGGTCTCTTATGAGTTTATTATGGACCTTTTTAGAGGGAGGAAATATTAGGTTGGATGGAATGTTTTTTCTTTAGATCAGCTTTTAAAAGTTCATACTTATTTTGTAAGCTGGAGAATCGTCGTTCAGCTTCTAATTCCTTTATTTGATGGACGATTTTAATATTACTGATTAAATGTTGGGAATAAATGAGTAATCGTGCTGAAAAGAACCATTTTAGCGACTTCCTAAGTTAAGATTTGAATTTGTCAGGAATATAACCACAATAAGTAACGTATGGATTTTTTGTTATAATTAGATCGACTAAGTTCAGACAGGACTTAAGTCTAAAATAAAATTTCAGTGTAGCATTACACTCACTAGAAGAAAAAGACACATCCCAAATAAGAGCACGTAGTAGAATTTCGTGGTTGGAACAGTTGATGTTTGCAGAGTAGTCCACGTTAGATCTGTTCAATCTAATCCATCATCATTTTCTATCATTTCATTTTGCATTCTGCATTTTGCATTTTTCAGCCACTCGTTACATTACATTCAGAGCCACTTTTTCATAGTCACTAACGGTATCAAGAAAGTAAGGGGAGACAAATAATAAATATTTCCAGTCTTGGCTTTGCTGGTAGACAACCATGAGAACAAATCCTTGATCGTATTCAAAGTCCCAGTATCGAAGGCACTTTAATTGGAAAGTAGGTCAGCGTTTGACAGATAATAATAGCAAAAATACTGTACAATCCTGGGATAAGGCATCACTTCATTTAGGCTATGCCGCCTGTATAATGGCCGAGACGTAACAAAAGGAAACCCCCCACACTAAGGTTGATGGCACAAGTTCTAACTAAACACACCTTGGCGTCAGTTGGCCTTGATTTCCAACCCACCTTACAGAACACAAAGACCAAGGTCTCAATGTTGGAACACACCTTACAGACAAAAAGCCTTCCGTGGCGAGCTCGCTCGGAACTGGCCAACCCACCATAAACAACAATCAGTTTAAAAACGAGATTACAGACTGCTGTAGAGGAGCGCCAGATAATGAGAACAACAACCAAGTGCCTCTGTAGCAACGTAGGGGGACTGTAGGGAGCAATTTCTTACAGGTTTAATTCCCAGCTTTTCTCTAGACCGTCGAATACAGAGTCTTGGTTTGGCAAAAGTCAGAACAAGCAAGCTATTCGGCTAGATAAACTTTATGCGTTTCTAAAACATAAATTATCATCGTGAGTGTACAAACAAACTGTACAGTCTATTAATACAGGAAAAAACAGACAAATAACATACCAAACAGTAGCCAGAGAATAGGAAAAATGAGTCAACAAGGAAATATTGTTTTACAATGATCATCAAACTGTGATTGGTTAATAATGAGATACACTAGTACAAGGTCAAAGGGAGTTATTGTGGTGGTGGGCGTTTCCCTTTATTATTGGTGAGTTCGTCTGTCGATCACATTTTACAGGGACTATGGGGTAAACTAGCAAAATTTAGAAACATGTACATCCATTTAGACCTGAAGATCATAGTCTTCACTGAAATATGGCTATCGCCCTGATGAAAAGTGTGCTTATAATACACTATCTTTTTCCAATGAAACAGAGTACACAAAATAGGTGAGGTTAGAATATATATATCAATAGGCACTTCAAACCAAAACGTCACAGAGTACTGAGTTAATCGATGTGGCAGCATCATGCTGATGTTGTTTCAATATTAACGGCACGAAGTACTTGTATAAAGAAATGCACAGACCACTTACTTTATCCAAGAACCCAAAAACATGAAATAATGCAGGATACAGTGAAATTACCACACCTCAGTTTTGACCAAATACAACTAGCCGAAAACGTCTGCACTCCATGTGATCGCAAACGAAATACTTCGCCAGGACGAGAATGTTCCCTGCCTTAGTTACACTAGAGTGAATCACACCACTATGTGGATTACCCCTTTGTCATATCCAGGTACTATGGCTGCTTTAATGACCGTACAAAACAAACAATGTTGCTATGGAAATATTTTGGTAAAAGTTGGCACAAGGGACAGCGTGCGATCACCACAGTATGGGCTTATCCATGGCATGCAATTAAACGATGCTGATTTGTTGTCATTAATCTTGGCAAGGATAAGTGAACTGTTCGACATTCAGTGGAACAACTGCGAACGATTTCGGAAGGGATGTGACACTTCAATGACCCTACAGAACTAATAACAATAGAGGAACAATCAGTAGATTTTGGGTCAAAACATTCTGTTTAATTTATCACAAAGCACTAATACTTCCCATGGAACGTCACTCCCGATTATAAAAGACAGCAATCTCATGCTTCTAACTACGCAGAGGTTAGACACAGGCTCAAACTACGCGGGAAATCCGGTCAACGCAACGCTCCCACTTTCCCCATTTTGAATTGCACCCATTTGGAATACTTTCATGGCCAAAGTAACTGTAGTCAACCTAGTGCATAGCTTTAGGAGGATACTTGACAAACACGTACTCACCCGTGAATTGCCTTCTCACTCTTGGACCAGCTGCTTGATGAATGTCTCATAGTTACCACGGTTATCACTACCACATGATTAGTGACTACTTCCTACCTCTAATATTACCATCTTCGTTCTACTGATATTTTTTTCAATACCATCTTCTTACACATTTTCAATTACATAAATTATTTATATATTCTCGAATCAGTCATTTATTAGCACTGAAATTATCACGTTATTGTTCTTCCATTGCAACCAACCAACATCCCGCCTAATAATGCGATAGCCGCTGACATTCAGAAACGCTACTGTCCTGAGACAAACTCACTTATTCACCTACAGTATGTATAAATTCACAAATGATTACTGCGGTGACTGAAATTACAGCAAACGAGTGGCTAGAATGTCACACATTGAACATAACTAAATACTTGGAACCGTAGCAAAACAATAAGAAACGAATGCAAATAAGTCAATTGGCTTATACACGATCATGATGCAAATATTGGATATTGGATGAGGTTTTCTAGGGCCGTTTTGAAAGTGTTGTTACTAATCCCGTTTGCTGTTTCCTAGCTTCAGTTAGGTTCCCCAATAACTTGTAGATGGTTGCTGCACTGTGATTGAATCTAATTCAAATAAATTATGATGCATCTTAACGATGAATATGTTAGACTCTGTCACGGAATTTAAAATGATGTTCTAGCTACAACTACTCTAAGGAAATAGCTTTAACAGGATGAGTGCATGTTTATTTTCTCAGCACTTTTGGGGAGAAAAACATTCAGGGTTTGATGCTATGTATCAAAATTTCAAATTATGTTATCGCACTTCGTCTGAATTTGCCGAATTTCTCCGTGAAAGTTATACAGCAGAAGACAATTATTACAAAACACTAGTTAAACTATCTAAACAAGCAGGATCATACAACAGCACTAGTAGTTTCAAACCATGCTGGGCTCTCCTCAAGCAGTTTATTGATCAAATCTCCCAGGTCCACTTAACTATCGCACAAGAACGACAGAATCTATCAAGAGATGTACAAAAGTATCTGGAGGAGCAACACAAGCGGCAAAAGCTGATCAAAGATACAGAAGCTTCAACGCAGGAAGTTGTACATGCTTTTCAGGTAGTCCTTTCTTATCTTTGTATGTCTTATCACCGGTTGGTAACGTTTATCCATTACAATATAAATTGCTTAATTCCTATGTATTATGTTCTCAATAATTGCTATTATCAATTACTTCATGGTTTATTGTGTTATGTATTTAGATCGTTGCATTTTGCTGAGGCACTGAGTAGTTTTTAATTCTCTGAACTGCTGAAAGTCAGTAACATCATCCTGATTATGGTGTTGTTGTTCATCAACATTTCCTTTCCCTCGTAAGGTTTACTTTAGTGTTCTTAGTTACGTTTTTTCTCTTTATTCGCTCCGTAGGGTGTGAAATCAGGATCCACACTCTTGAAAAACTCTTTGTTGTATTTGTCTGTATGCCAAGCATCCAAGGGATTTAGGATGTCATCTTGTTATCCAAAAAATTCGTAGATCTCGTGATTCGACGGTCTAAAAGTTTTTGAGAAATAGGTTCAGGTTGTGTTATTCTCAACATCTCATCGGAAAAAACAACACTTCCAGTTTCTCAAAGAACATTATTCATCGCTATGCTTTCATTACTCAGTATCCTATAAGTTCGGGTGGAAAAGCCTTAGTGCACCATTTATATATGTGAAAGGGTAATCTTTAAGGTGATAGATTTTACTAGTTATTTTAATTTATAATCTAATAAAACTTATTTCATGAGCTAAAACTCGAAAAACTATCTCTTCATAATTTTCGGTCGTTTTTTGGAGCTATGGAAGTAATGCATTTATGTTTCATAAATAGTACACGGTTTTTATATAGAGCTACCTTCTTCCATTCAATTACTATTTCGCTGCTCAGGTAACTTCCGTTCAACTTCAGAAGGCGAAGGAGGCATATCATTCACGTTATAATGAATATGAACGTGCTATGCGCTTGGAGTCTGGTTCTAATCGAGATCAAGAAAAACTGGAGGTCAAGCTTAAGAAAGCTCAGGATGAGTACAAATATTCGGTTGAAAAGTATAATAACCTACGCAACCAGTTCGTGAGCAAAATGCACATCTCTTGTGCCCAGTTTGAGGTAATCTAGACTCTCAGTACATATTATGCTATACTATTTAGTTTTTTGTGTGTGGACTGTTTCCAGAAAATAGGCTCTAGTTTTGGATTTAACTACTGTTACTCGTCAAAATATTTCAGGTGCTTTTGTTGATTGCGGTGAATGTGTCATGCGTCCAAGACTCCATAGCAATAGCAACCATGATATTGCATGGAATTGAACCAAGTTTTTTAGGTTTTATAACAAGCAGTTTCCTTAGAAAAATAACATGCTCATTTCATTCTAAGGATAATTTACTGCTTTGTTTGACCTCGGTAGTGCTGAAGACTTAAACACGATTACGTTTAATCACAAAACACTCAGTTAAAATGAAACATGTGTTCTGAATTTCCTGATAGCTTACCACTTTCAATTGCTTACTATAAAGTTTCAATTAAATGTCTTTTCTCCGACACCGAAATTGATCTGTTGCTCTGCTAATTCAAACTACACTCATTCAATAATGAAAATTCCAGTCGTATTCAACTAGCGACATTTATATGACAGTGTCTAATCTGCAAAATGGTTTGACTTTTAGATATTTTGTCATTTTAGTCCTACAATATTTAACATATATCTATAATTGGTCTGGTTTATTACAAAAATCTAGATCGTTTATCGGATACTGTTTATGTATATTAAGCTTACCAGTAAATCATTACAATCTAATAATGAACTGATGTCATATATTTCCCGAGAATGATAAATGGACTACTACCAGTGTCAAAGCACGTACCAAGGAAAGTGCACGTGGAGCTTCTGAAAAAAAGGATCGTGATATATTTTCAGAAGTTTGAAACCAACATTTTACATGAAATCCAATAAGCGTGAGCTTATTCACAGGTTTTATTGTGTCAACTGCTATTAATCAATACCAATGATCATCCTGAACGCTGCAAGTCTGAAAACTTATTTTACGCTTAAAAGAAAATCGGTAAAACGAGTTGCATAAATAAGTATTTATGTGTTATTAACTTTGACTGAATAAAATCAGTTAGTGGTTCATGTGAATGCCCCTTATTTAACTCATTTCTTTAATATCCTTTTCTTCATTAATGATGCTATCTTAATTGAGAGGAATTGCCGGCTTGTGAAAAACGTGTCCTGGATATCTTAAGGACAACTTTTTAATCAGATTAAGTATTTTAAGTCAAGTAACTCTGATGTGCGCACAATGCAGACAACTAATTTTATGGTGATAATAGCTTGTGGTATAGTTAGAGAAATAGCATTTTGACTAACGTTCCGTTTTGAATTTTAAAATGATATTCTATACTGTGTTCACTGTTTGGCCTGTTTATTTTCCAACCTTTGACTCAAATAACTCTAGTTCCCATTATCGTTCCTTTACTTTTGTCTTATAAAAGGAAATCGAAGTTTCGCATCTGGAACAGATGAAAGAATTTCTGCATCGGTATGCATCTGTCTGGTCCATCACGGGTGATGCTTTAGGCAAATTACACAGTCAGTTTGATCGTGATTTAACTGAGTTGACTACAGACAGATTACTGAATATTCTTGTAACCGAAAGAGGCACTGGGACTTTGGAACCACAAGGTGTGCAGTTTGAAGATGCAGAGGTTGCTGCCGCGTTTTCATCAAATGCAACTGAACGTTCCAACGGAATAACAACCAATGGTGTTCGTGTTCTAGAGGCATTTTTCGCTCGCGAAGCTAGAGCTGCCTCTGCACTTGCAAGTAATTTACAGCATGAAGCTTGTCTAAGAAATCAAAATATTCTGCTCAAAAAGTTTTAATGTTATGGTTAGATAAAAACTTATGTATATGCTTATTAGACAGAATACTCATTTGTTTGCTTTCCAAATCAAAGCGTGTGATAAATTAAAACGAATCCATTTTGTGAACGTTTGCGCTTCTAGTTTGAAATATTTCAGAAAATTACTTCCAAGGACTGAAATTGAAGGTATAAAAACCCGTCCTCAACGCTACCTACAATTAAAATTGTGATCAACATAAATGTACTGAATGATCTCTCCTGAAGTAAATAATCGTACATGTAACGGATCTGTATAAAGCAGTAAAATGTTTAAAATGAAAATGAAAATAAAAAATAACTAGCTATAAGTTATTAGTTAAATTTCAATAATTTAGATAAAACAGTGACTCAATGTGGTACAGATGCCTAAATAATTTTATCTTTCTTGTCATGAACAGTTTATTTGTGTTGATCATCCCCAATAATTGTGACTAACCAGGTTGTACGACGTCTATTTTTATTATTTGTTTAGTTCTCACCATTTCACTTCACTAGTATAGAAGTTAATACTCTTTTTAAATCTGAACTTGTAAAATTTGTTAGCTCAATACAGCATGATTTTTAGCCAATGTCTGTTGTTTGTGTTCATAATCAACTATTCGGTTATTTATTTACTCTAAAGAAGTGGCTTACATTAAGTCATGAATAGTTGAAAATACAACTTCTCTACCCATTGGGATATAACAAAAATATATTTATTATTAGCTTTCTACCCAATGGACAGTTGACAGACGCATTCCTAGTTAAAACCGTGGTCAGACAAGGCCGCTTATTCTCTCCCTAACTCTTCCTTCTGATGGTCGACTGGATTATGAAGATCTCCACATCTGAGGAGAAGCACGGAATACAATGAACGCCTTACATGCAACTAGACGATTTGGACTTCGCAGATGACCTGACCCTTCTATCCCATACACACGAACAAGTTCAGGTGAGGACAACTGGTGTAGCAGCATCCTTAGCATCAGTAGGCCTCAACATACACAAGGGAAAAAACAAGGTCCTCAAATATAACAAGGAGAACACGAACCCAATCACGCTTGATGGAGAAACTGTGAGAGGTGTGGAAAGTTTCACGTACCTGGACAGCATCATCGATGAACAAGGAGGATTAGATGCAGACGTAAAAGCGAGGTTTGGCAAAGCAAGGGCCTCATTCCTGCAACTGAAGAACATATGGAACTCAATACAACTTTCAACTAATATCAAAGTGACAATCTTCAATACGGACGTCAAGACAGTTCTACTGTACGAAGCTGAAACTTGGAGAACTACTACAACCATCATCAAGAAGGTACGAGTATTTATAAATAGTGTTCTATGCAAGATACTCAACATCCATTGGCCGGATACCATCAGCAACAGCCTTCTCTGGGAGAGAACAAACCAGCTTTCAGTTGAAGAGGAAATTGGGAAAAGACGCTGGAAGTGGATAGAACATGCATTACAGAAATCATCAGACTGTATCACGAAGCAGACCCTAACTTGCAATGCTGAAGGGAAATGGAATAGAGGAAGGTCAAAAAAGGATTTTTCAGGAAAACGTTTGATGGAGGATGCTGGTAAGCGGCCTATGCTTCTGTACGGGGAGGGGCAACAGGCGTAAGTAAGTTCTACTAAATGCTCAGTTTATACGAAACTATCAAGTCCAACCTTGGCATCGATACTTATATAATTGACTGCGTTTTTGTGTTAGAGTGTATGGTGTATTCACAATATGTGGTTTTGTGCTATTTTTAATTGAATCATTTTTCCGTGTAGTTGTAGGTTCTGGTACCAAAGATAATGGTGAATCAAGTCTCAACAGCTTAACAGATGTTAGATCAGATGCAATCTCTGTGACTAGCATTTCCGTAGGTGTTGTGCCGTCGGTAACAAATGTATCAATTTCTGGCAATGGAACTGCAAGACGCCGAGAAGGATTTTTTCGTCGACGCCGTAATTCCTTGTCACAGGATCCTGCTCCTGCTGTCGGTGGCAATAATGCATCAGGATCGTCCACCTCAGTCGGTGCGGCCATTGGGACAAACACCAATATTCAAGCTAGTGGTAGTATTAATCTCAGTGCTTTCACCGTCGTTGCCAAACGTGGGATTCGCCGACTAGGCACTCCTTATTCAAATGGTAAAGATAAACCAATAAAGCAAATGGACAAGTCAGGTAGATTTGCTTGGCAATACATAATTTAAGTACTTTCTATTGATGTTTAGCAAAGCTTCGCTTTTTAATAAATAGCTTATGTGTTAAGTGGAGTCTCTAAATTGAATTTTGTGTTGCAATTAGCCTCTGAACGTAAAATTTCATTTTTAGTAAACATCTCAGTATTCGACAAATATCAGAAATGTTTGAAGTATATGATCCTGATGATTGTACTCAAATCTAAATTGACTTATTCGCCAAGTGCTTGGGTGCGAGACGCAGTCTAGGTATGGGGTTTAATTATACTGCTCACTTCTCCAAACCGAAGTAGGTGTAGCAGGATTTCAACCTGTGACCTAGTAGCTGAAAGTCAAACCAATTAACCACGGGACAAAAATACAGAAAATTGAGGCTTCCTATGCTGTTTTTCGGGCTATTATTATTTGTATCTTCATTGCATTTTGTAGATAACTATATTGTTACATTTCTATACCTTCTTTATCATAAGCTTCCATTGGACCTATTGATTATTGTTGTGCGTTTTAATATTCCTTAATTATTGCTAATTGCTAATTGTTCGTTGTTCAGTAAGTAACTTGTTGAAATACCCTGTGCTGAGAATTCTATATTGTACCAAAATATAATACTGAATAAAGCCATTAATAATAATAATAATAATAATACTGTCTGCTCAGCCCTCTACCACCTATGTTACTATCGCGCTTGATGTTTGCTTTCTTTTATGGCGTTTGCAGTACATTATTGCATCAGTTTTCTAGTCATTATCAAATTGAATACAATAAAGAACTAATTCGCCTCCTATCATCGTCATCTGATGGACCACTGAGTCAGAAAGGGACTCGAGGACTAATAGGCGTTAAAACCGTGTTGGTCACTTATCGGTCAGTGTTTAAATTCGTGAAATTTATCACGGGTCCGTTTGGGGATATGATACGCAATATCAATTTGGAATTCTCGAGTCTTCACAAATCTGTACCAATTCTTCCCGGGATACAACACCACTAAGGCACGATTACACGGCTAATGCATCCTTGAGTCTGAGTATACTGATTGGGTTACCTCCAACCAATCAGCCCCTTAAGATGAATTGCAATACTGATACCTTGAGTAAATTTTGCAAAAACATATTTTTCTATTACTTTACCTTTTGTTATTCGAGTTCATTAGAATTTATCTTGTGCCAACTCGTTCTCGTTTTAGTTGTTTTCGAGTAAAGTGAAGAGTATTTGTCAAGATATATTAAACAAAAGAATGTAACGGTGTCAGATATTAGCACTCAGTAATCATTTGCATGTATATTTAGTGAAATATTGGCTACTCTGTAATTAATTTTTGATCTACCAGCATATGATATTCTATTCCCAATAAAACTTCACTTATTACCACTGGCTATCTATATTCTCTATCAAATACATTTACTATTTATTTAGCTATTTTTCTTAAATTAGACGAAAAAAAACTTTTTCGGACTCTTGTAGATATTGGCAAAGTTCTGATCATGGGTATGATAAATTGAGATTACTCATACAATAAAGTGTTTCTGATTGATGGTTAGTGAAATCGAAGAAACGATAAGTGAACCTAATTAAATCAGTGACACATAAAGTATCTCTGTTTGTCTTTGTTTTAATCTTTACGATACTGTTGCTATATTCTTCGAATGATATCTTCAGTGTCAGTTACTTATTTTTGCAGATACCATTACTTCAAAAAGTGATGATTGGCGGACTACTACACCCGTAGAATTACCGAAAGACGAAGACGGTTATAACATTAGACCACCTGATCCATGGGGTGAAAACTCGTCAAATTTCAATCATTCTGAGGCTGATGACTCAGGTTCCGAAGAAGATCTAGAAAACAAAGCGAACAAAACATTTCATGGACTAAAAGTAGGTATTTATCTTTCCTTAGAGTTGTATAATAGGGTGTCACGGTTTAAGTTCATTTCTTGTTGTACTGTATTTGAAAGTTTCGATATGATATATTGATTCACTGTGAAGATCAGTCTAGATAACTAGAATCTCAGGTGAACAAATCATCTCTGTGCAACTTGGTTGACTTAGGATATTGCGAGTACACTAAAATGTTGTGTGGATTGAAACAATAGGATAGCGATCTTTTTAGCTGCATATATATATATATATATATATATATATATATATATAAACTGATTGTATAAAATTCAATCCAGTAGTGAAGATTAATACTTCCGATTGAGACTCTTAATAATGTGGGACACCTTTAGTACTTCTGTATGATTTTGTTTGTTTGAATAATACTAACAGCTTATGACTCAAAATGTTTTTGTGTTTTCGAGTGCAAAAGTAGGATGGAAGAAAGTTAGGGGCGACCAAAACAATATATAGCACTAGTCCATGAAGTCACTGACACTTAGACTTATCCATATAAATAGGTATAGACTATCTGGTTGGGGTTTGCGTGGTTATCATAACCAATGGTTAGGAACTTTTAATGACATGACTCATACTCGTTTTTAATAGCGGGTATGTATCCTCAAACTCTGAGATTCTAAATTCCCCGTAACTTTTGTTGTTTTTATTTCACTAGTTTATATTTTCTTCTCGAATCGTATCCTGAAGCCTAATTTTTCCTACTATTGCTTATACCGTTACTATCTCTTCCATTCTGGGATTTGGCTTAACAACTTCATTCTCTGTGCTAATCGGTACGGAAACTTAAACCGATGTACATACGTACCATGTTCTATGTTGTGACTGACTGACTGAAAACCTAACTTTACATACGACAGATTTGCGTGTTCGATCAACTTTTTATTGAAAAGTCTTTACTAAACCTCGTAATTGTTAAATTTTAAGTTTAGCAACAAAAGCTTGGTACAGGAAATCGTTTCCCTATATGTACATACCTCCAATTCAGCTTGATTACATTAAATATGAATTCTAGATATCAGATGAGATTATATAGATTTGTTGTTTGTTCTGACGTTTTCTATTTTATGAAACTACGTAAAGATGTGTTTCCATTTATTTTAACACGTACATGTGACAGTTACACAGTAATTGATTATTTGGTAGTAACCTCTTGTAATAGCCTAAAACGTTATCACTCACATAATAGGACTTCGACTGATGCTTAGTCGGATCGTTCTGTTTACACCAATCGGTCTTTTAGTATTAATCAGTATCATGTTAGGTTTGAATGATAATCAAATTATGTAGGTTGTTACAATACGATCAGTATACCAAATAATTCAACGTTATGGCACACTTTGTTTCGACATTAGGTGGTCATAGGAATTTGACAGCAAATTCCTGATCAAGATTTTGCTCCAGTTATCATGCGTCAATAGGGTATACATGGTGTTTTGATGGAACTGATGCGCTTTGTGGGATTCGAACCCGTGTCACTCAAACCACAGTCAAAGACTACTCCTAAGCTCGAATTGACTAATTTTATTTTATTGGTCATCACGAGATATTGCACTTACCAGTGATGAAATACTGTGGGCAATAGTTTTTGAGAATTAAAATAATTAGCTGCGTTGATTATTTTCTATCAAAATAATATTTAAATCTGTCGTGATAATAACGCCACTAGTTAAACCCTTGCAAATGCATTATACTCTAGCGTCAGCATCATCCACATAGTTGGCATTGAAAAGATCCTCTTTTTAAAACTAAGTGTAAATTAAACTTTCTAACACAACCACTCAGTTTAGCCTTCATTAAAAACACAAAAAGTGCTAACAAATTTTGAAACCGTTAGTATGGTTTCATTGAAATGATCAATAGTAAATCTACAAATTGAAGAAGTTGCTAATGTCATTGTTCTTTGAGAACTTACGATACATGGGTTAGAAGAGTGTTTCATCTGGCGAATGTTTACATCATATACCACAACAACTCTAATGTGTTTCTGGAAGATAAATTGCTACAGTTGATCAGTTCTTTATTCAAACAATATGTAACTTGCTCCTATAAGTTCAGATCCAGGTTTTACCATTGATATCCCATCATTATCAATGCTCGTTCGAGGCCACTTTCTTCATAAATGGTATGTCCTGCGATCGAAAGCTCTCGACCACTACTCTTTGTTCAACTTTTAAATTTGCTACATGTCAAGGTAAATTTAAGTTCACAAACCAAAGATTATTTATTTGCTTAAAAAAACTATTTCATATTCTTAGAAATGTATTGAAAGCAAGTGCAAACGTTAATAATGACTTGTCAATCCGACTAATCAGATCAGGAGTAAATATTGGTGCATAAATTTCTGTAATTCGCTACTGATGCTTATTGGCTGGAAAGTATTCTGGGAGTTTAATTCACTTTTGCGGCTATTTTCAAGGATAATTTTCACCATCTAACAACTATAGGTCTTGAAAATGTTATTTAAAAAAGCTCATTCATGTATTTATGTATGCATTTAACAATGTGAAACGTCGATTATATCTTACCTTTCATCTAGGTTAATATCCGTCCAGTTGGAGAGTTTGCTCCAGGAGTAGCGCTTAAATATAATGGGGATAAATTAGAATCTCGTCCAAAGCCTTTAGAAACAATAAGAAGTCCTAAAAGCACTGGGAATTCACAAGTCCCTTTACTTATTGATCATCGTATCGGATCAACACTTCGATCACCACGTTCAAGCATATCTTCATATCAAAATATTCCTATCACTGCAGGATCGGATGGCGTATCAAATCATGATTTGATTAATGCATTACCTCTCCCACCATTGTTACCGCCACCTCCTCAACCGCCATCGTCATCAGTGTCATCATCTACCACCGAATCTTTCGCTGCTATCGGTGCTGGTGGTTCAATGCGTGCTCGGAATGTCGGTTTGTCATCGTTTAATACACTCAGTAAGGGTCATTCAATATCGGCGATACGTCCACGTGGATACAGTTGCAATACATGGACTAAAAGTAATTGCTTTTTTATTTCTAAATAAGTCGATTGTTGGCGATTTTTCTTAGATTCATGTTGACGATAGCGTTTACGCACACCTACCATTGTTGTTACGAAGATAGAAAACAGGAAAATATGAAACTTAGGTAGCTATTACTTGGCGTATGTGCTTATGTATTTCTAATAAATATTCATTAAACAGTTGTTTTGTTTTATTTTTATGTAGTTCTAACTGTGTACAAAAATATGTTAATAAGCTTTGTATCAAAAATATTCTAGTTATGAGCACTTACTAGTGCTTTGTATATATATATCCAGAGCAGTGGTAGCTAGGTGATATTACTACCTACCATGCACAATGAACTAGAGCTCAATCTGCGTATATAAGCCTGTATTTGGTTAATAAGACATAAGGAATAAATATATCAGTAGAATAGGTACTAGCTGTTTACAAATGTCATTTTCAAATTCCAAAACCCATTAATTTCCAGGGGATGGGAATCAATCCAGACACTATTGAGTGTGTTTGTCTCAAAACCACTTTATGTGATTAACGATCTTCACTGTATATTATGAATAATGAAGTAAATTTTAATAAAATTTTGTTGACATTGTTTTTTCATCCTGATAGTGTAAACGATAAGGTTTTAAGATGATTATATTCTCAGTGAATTTTTCCAAGTGAGTGACTTGAAATTCATCTTTAGCACAAACTGACGGTTTCTACTGGTCACAGTTGTTTTGATTTCAAGTAGGATATTGGACTGGCATTAATACACGTGTTACTAAAAGAATTTGCAATCAATGTCTTAGGAATCCCATCTGCTGGATGTGAATCGACTAGTTTTAAGGCTAATGGGATCACTGAAAAACGTTTCTCATGGCTTTTATCACACGACAAGTAATGTCCACATATTGTTGATGCATCTTGTAGTAAAATATGAAACTTGATCATAACACCTTGATTAATCATAATTCGAATTCTTTTGGAATCATTCGTAATTTTTATCCTCAGTAATCTATTGTATTACTGATTTAGAAGTCTCGTAATCACAAATAATATACTGCTTGATATCAATGTTCGGTTAAATTAAAAAAACACCAGGCTGTCATGATTACTTACTTAAGTCTGTTACCACTCTTGGGGCATAGACTGGCGATTAGGGATCTCCAACTGATTCTTTGTTGGATTCTTTTCCAGTTGTTGCCTTAAATGCCTGTCTCTGATTCCCGACTGCATGTGTTTCTTTGTCTGCTTTTTTCCTTTTGGCCTGAGCATTCCAAGTTAGGGCTTGCTTCGTGATGCAGTTTGATAATATCCGTTAAGTATGATCTATTGAGTTTCAGTATATTTTCCTAATTTCCTCGTTAGCTGGATGCTGGTTTGTTTAGTGCTATAGAAATTTGTTGTTGACGGCATTTGGTCAGCAGATCTGGAATATCTTGCATAACCATCTGTTTACAGATACCTGTACATTTTTGATGATGGTTGCTCCAGATCCATATAATAAAACCTTAACGTTTGTATTGAAAGTTCTATCTTGTGTTGGCTGACAGTTCTTTTGCGTTCAAGATATTCTCCAACTGTAGGGATATTACCCTTGCTTTCCCAATCCATCCCTTCACATATGCGTCAGATCCTCCTTGCTTATCAATGATTTAAGTGTGGTATATACACTCGTTTTGTTGCTCTTGGACCTCTGTGATTGTTTTCTCTTCTTTTTTGATTGATTGCTCTGGTTTATTATGTTTGCGTGCTAGCCTCTTTGTTGTCATATATTTCTCATATATTCCCTTCTCTTACAGTTTGTTTTACTGTTGTTCCCAGATCTTCGACACATTTCCGCTTGTCTGTCCTGACACTTTTCTCCACTCGTTTGTTTAATACTCTCTATTCGGTATGTGCTCTGAGTTTTTCTCCTCTCTTTCGACTTTTTTGTCTGCTGTCCTGTTGTTTTTCTCATCTTGAATCTTGTTTAAGGTTTCACTAGAGATCCACTCTTAATGTTAGTGCTTCTTGGAGCCCAGCACCACCTAGCATGTTGAAGCAATTGGTTCTTTAATTTCTTTCTACTTATCCTCCATAGTGGTTTCCTCTTCTCTGAGTAGGTCTTGTAAGGCTTAGAACTTATTGTTGAGAGCTACCGCACATTGACTAAGTTTGTCAGCATCTCTGTGGGAAGCTGTATTAAGCCTTCATAGCGCTACTTGCTCAATTGTGTAATGCTTTCTTAAATTCAGTTTCAGCTTGACATCCACCAGGTGGTGAACTGAAGCTATATCGTCTTATCTCTTTGTTCTTACTTTTTCCATGGACCTCAATTCAGTCTTTTCTTAGGAAGTTCACTACGACGAACTACAGCCTCTCATAAAACTGATCTTTATCCTCTCTGCTGTTATCATTGCTGAGCACGTAGTACTGGATGACAATTAATGTAAAACCTCCGTAATATGTTTTGAAGGATCCTTTGATGATCCTGGAGGTGTGAATTTCCCACTCTATGACCGTTTTCCGGGCTTCTCTAATGAGTATCTGTACAACTCCTTGTGTGTGGGGGGTCATTGTCTTCTTAATGACCAGAATGAAACAGAATCTTCCCCGAATCTAGTCGTTTCTGTCCAGCTTTTGTCCAATGGGTTTTACTTATTTCAAGCAGAGCGAAGTTGTATCTTCTATCCTTCAGTATCTTATTTCGTCAGAACATTCTATGTACATATATTATTCGTTGCTCTGGTCGTCAGGAAGGGCTTCGCTTTCGTAACTCTCAAAGAACCTCAACTCACCATGAGGTATCACAACTCTTCTATATAAAGACCCTTCAACTCCCTGGATAGATTTTAGATGGTCTAAATCATTTTTTTTATTTGCATCTTTCCAAAAATGTTCTTTTTCACAGAATAGAGTTGCTAACCCTATGTCCAACATGAGCTTGGGACTCTAAGCTAGTTATTTTGTGATCACTTTCAAAGAAATAGTTTTGATTAATGTAAAACTTGTACTGAATAGTATGACATAAGGATATGACTTAAAGTATGTGAAGGAGTTAGAGCGGTTCTTAGATTACCTTGAGAATGTTGAATTATAATCTAGCCAACCAGAAGACAGGTTATAAAAATGATTGGTTTCTAATGAAAATAATGATAGAAAAAGAAAAATTAAAGTGTATTTGTACTTTAATATAACTTATGGATCGTTCAAAGCTATTATCAGTTTCTCAGATTCGAATTCAAAGAAACCGCTACATAAATATGCTAGAATACAGTCTCCCACGGGTTTCTTTATGTTGGCGAGAGATGCGTTTCAATTATTTTTATAGACTAACTCTAACTAGCTTCATTTCCTCACTGGAATCACGCAAAATTGTCTCACGATGTCTCTTTCCTATTAAGTACATTATTGTTACATTTTTATGAGAATTAACAAGTACACGAATTATTATCAGCTTGCTTATTCAGATTATGCGTTGTGACCTTAAAACATCATTTTGGTACCTGATTGTCTCTTTCTCATACTTTGACCGGACCACAATAAGCTTCTGGTGGTGATATCAAAATAAATTTTTGGATTCAGATTATATAAACGAAATATTTGTTAGCACTTTCTGTTTCACTCATTCATATAAACAACTCCATATACATTGAACTATGTAAATAGTGTACAGAATATCTATTGTGTTGAGATCTAGACAATCAAATATTGTTGGTAAATTCCACATTGAAATATGTTGTAAATTTCACATGTTGTGAAGTAGGATATATATGACTGCAAGACTCAAAGTCAGTAACTTATATTGTAGATAGAGTTTGCAGCACTGTGTCGTATATTTATCACTCCCAACTCTTTAAGCTTAAATTTCTCTGTTTACTGTCACGCACATATATTTATATTCCATCACCATAATCATTTATTATGTTATCTAGGCAAATTATCCACTCTTCCACGAAGATATCGCAGTAAAGTTTACACAAATAAAAGTATTTTACACGGAGCTTTTGTCACTTCTCAAATTAGTATGTGTAAATTTTATCATCGATGAGTCTATTTGAAATGAGGTATCACAGAACTTCATGTCTTTGTAATCATCATTATAAATTGCACTATAAAGTAATGATGATGATAATCATTCTTATATATGTTGCATTTCATATCAACACTAGGTTTCCGCACTGCTTCAGGCACATTTAGTATAAACTGTTTTCTTTGCTCATTTGCTGCTGGTATTAAATGTCATCTTATGTTTTATATGAATGTGTATAGTTTATGTGTGTGCGTACGTATGTATGTATGTGTGTACGTGTATAATGTGGTAGTATTATCATGACCTAATATAGCTTATATAATTCATCCAGTATCGTCATTATAAGCCTATATAATTCGAAATCGAGTTAGTCTGTATTTTTTTGATACTTGCATATTCTAATTACTGTTACAATAGGTAATTAGAATGTTTGCTTATTAAGTTTCCTTGTTTGTTGTTGTTAGTTTAATCTCATGAATATGGACCTATGATAATTCATCGATTGAACTTATTTGAAATGAAAAAAATTGTATACTAATAGTGTCATATGTTTCATAATATATATAGCGATAGGATCGAAATAATGATGAATTATGTAAAGGACAACTGAAGAAAGATATGCGAATGATGCATTTAATGGATGATGTTAACATTTTACAAATCTACTGTTTGATTTTGCGTAAAACAGTAAATGGTTTATTGTACCCGATTTTTCATTCACTACACTACTGATTATAAATATTTCAGTAAGTCCCCCGTATATATCTAATTATATACTTTGAAATGAAATACATTTTCACTGAACTGATAAAAGTCGATTACTGTCGATAAAGAAGTCTTAGTTTGATTACCACTTACAACTCACATTCATCAAATTATTTTTGTATGTACATTTGTTTAATAAAATTTATTTATCATTAAATGATTTAACTTTACGTTTGTACAGACTTTTAAATACTTTTTTTGGAAAATAAATGTACCTACATATTATTAGAGATAATCTTTTTTATATTTTGGTTTATCTGTGGTTTATTTTAATTTTAGAAGGAAATTCAAGTCAAGTAAATTCTGAAAGATCATTGGAATCAAAAGATGAAACTAACAGTACAACTTTCAATTTGTCGTCTTTTGATGCCCTATTCACAGTACAAGAAACCAATACAAAAGATATTCCTTCAAATAATACTAAAGATTCTATTCAGAAGGACTACTCTTCAGATTTTAAATTTGGTTTTAAAGATTCTGTTAGTTGTAATAGTTTAGTAGATACTTTACAAAGAAGTTCATCATCTGTAATGGGTGTTAATCTATCACCTGTAAAGAACGATGATGGTGGTGGTAGCTTAGTTCGACGATGTTCTAGTACAGCACCTACTTCAACAGATAATGAATCATTTGATCAGTCTAATTGGGTATGTGTACATTATTTGCCTAGATTATTTACTTTATTGTTCATCATTTATAATCACTCAGCTGTTCTCATTTTAATTTAATCATTAGTTTTTCCTCGCTGTATGCCTAATTTCAAACTTATTAACTTTTTATGCTCTGTCCACTAAATATTCTAGCAGTAACTCAACAAATCCGAAGTTATGGGATAAGTTAAGAGAAATATCAAGGATTCATCGTGGAGATTATACATGAAAGGAAACAGCTCTTTTTGTGTGGAGCAGGCGCTTCAGTCAAAGGTATATGAAGTTTATCAAATCAACATTAGTAGTTCCAGTGTTTTAGGCTAGTTGGTTGTTCATAAGTTGGAGCTTCACTTACCCACTAATGTCTGTGTACTTAGATAGTTTTATCATCTGTAATTTGATATGTCTTATAATCTAGTAGTTATTGTAAATATCCATCCAATTGTGTATTACAATCAAACAACTTTCATTTGACCGGGATCCAGGTGTCAGTAGGTACATGATTTAACGTCCTTAGCAAACGTTCGCTCGACCTTTTCAGAATGTGAAATAGCCTTTTGATGTGAAGAAATTGTTTCACATTGGTAGAATCGATCATACTTGGTGAATTTGTCCATCAGAATCTATTCACCTGATTAAGGTCGACTAAACGTGTGTTTAGCTCTAGTTAACAATATTCAAAAATGTGTGATATACATCTAAAAAGCACGCTTTCCAACAAGTAATTCTTTTTTGCCAAATTCGTGAGATGGGAAGTATTTACTAAATACAATCTGAGAATTCAAACTAATTTAGGATAACTTTACTTAGACTGTATACTTGTGTATTGAGAAATCTATCTGAAGTTTTAAAAATTCAACATCTTTGATGTGTGGGTGAGAATGAGAATGATTGGTTGTCTGCTTAGTCAGACATATAGACAGTCTGACAGGTGTCAGATGAATTATATATTCCCTTATCCTTATTATTATTAGGACGGACTTATTATTGATTGTAAATTGTTGTTGGATTGTGTCGGTTTTTGGTGTGGAAATATATTTACGTTGTGATCAGGCTAATCACGTGTTCTTGATCTGAGTTGTGTTGAAGTCCTGTAGAATAGACACTGGGAGGGAATCGAGTGTAGATATTCGTCTAAGGTAAATTAATGTCCCATACTTGTGAAAGTGGAAACCCAACGTTATAACATTAGACGAAGTAAAATCGAGCGTTATAACATTATGATTACATAAATATGTGTTCGATTAGTCACTGTGAATATATTTTATGTCATTTACTCAGTCAAACTTTCATTTAGAAATGCTAAATGAATTACTAATTATTGTCGTGCTAATATAATGACCGTATTGTCTATGTGCAAACGTTCCGTTCAGAAGTTCACTGCAACAACCAATGGTTAGAGACCCTGAATAACATGGCTCAAAATCTTTTGCAATGGCGCAAGTGCATCCACTCTTTGTGTTCTCCTAAATTCTAATCCGAATTCTTCATATCCCTTATTTTCTTTCCAAACTTATTTCACTGTATACTCTTTGAATAACATCTCCAAGCCCTAATGTTTCCAATTACTGCTTATACTCTTACTACCTTTACCACTACGGAATTTGAGTCGACAACTGCATCTCTGTGCTAATGTGGTGTGGCAACTCGAACTAATGTACGTACGTACGAAGTTCTACGTTGTTACTGACTGACTGACCACTGCAACAAATGTATTTTAATGAGTAAAGGTTGTACATTTGAAATCTAAAGATACACGTTAATAACCCTATAACCCACACTTGAATTTCACAATCGTAGATGGCGTTTGAAACAAATTCAACTGAAACAAGCAAATCCTTCAGTACTTGTGTACCTTGGCCATCTTTTAACGCTAATATACATGGTACTGTAGTTGGTAAAGAAGCTCGACCTATTCCTGAACCTCCAACACGCCTTCATAATCATCCGAATAATAGTTCTACTATTGAACCAAGTATTACACCTTCTCCTTCTACCCATTCAGTTAATTTGCCAAATAATTCAATTTGCTTAGCTGCTGCATTTACAGAGACTTGGCATGCCCGGTTTTTTAATGGTGGTGGTAGCTCTTTTTCAACCGCAGCCTCTACTGGTCAACCTCCCATTCAAACAATCTATGGTAGTTTAACACTTGCATTTCCACGTGCGGATATGGAGCAAAGACTATTCAATAAATCACTTATTCCCCCTCTTGTGTTTAGAATTACAAATGCCGAAAGATTAAAAGATCTACAACCTAAACTTTCTGGCTCATCAATCAGGTAAATCATATTACTCATTTATTTCAGATTATTTTGAAATATCACAATTATTATGTTTCTATTTTCCGAGCTCTTTATGAAGCTTAATTTTCTCAGTTAACCTGCAACTGATGAAGCATGTAAACCTGTTTATTAATGAAAAGATTGTTGTGATAAAACAGTAAAATGCAATGTCTAATCTAACTACTTTTTGTCTTCGAAGCGTCTTTGAAGAGCTTCCTTAATTCCAGTTTTTCGTTTAATAGATTTACTAAGGTGGTTTGTGATCTGAAAATACTATTTAGGTGCATGCTACTTACACTGACAGATATCAGTAGTACTTAGCATCAATCGGAGGTGGAATGCCCGACAAAGGATGATTGAATTGAAAGGAACGGGAAGAAGGACAGAGAGCAATCAGAGGAAGAACAGAATCGAAAGTATCATGAAGTATGTAAAGGACAACTGATGGAAGACGTGCAAGTGATGTATTCAATGTATAGTTTTCATACTTTACGAAGGCACTCTAATTGGTTTTCACCATCTGTGTTCCGATTCACCACACTATTTTGAAAATAACTTTCATCACTAGCTACTCATATCAGCTGATAAACTAGCGAGAATCAAAATGTCATGGTTTTCAGTTTAATTCCGCGTCGGATTTTTGATTTACATTACCAAAGAGCTCTGAATTAGGATGAAAAAGCCTTTCTTGACTCTTAATGATTATTCGATTGATCCCACCATTTTATTATAATAATTTACTGGATATTTGATAACAATGCTTCAATAACACGCATAATGTAGGAGATTTTACTAAGCTTTTTATTTCCCAATTTTTGTCTATAGTTACCTACAATCCAATTACTGTTAATGTATTTCAATTAGTTAGTAGCTAATAGTTAAATTAATAAAATGTCTCAAGCAAATTGGTTATGGATTTGGATTTAATTACCATAAGACAAATCTTTATAGTTCAAGATTACTAGATTAATTAGTACAAATTATTTAAGAGATATTAAGTGTCATTAAGAATAATATTACTACCTATCAGTTAATTGATGTATTCATTTATTTCTCAAGTATCATATCAAGATCCTTTTTTGTATTTTTAATTCAGTTACATAATTTCATTGGTATGTTTTTGTTTTTCTGTTAGTTTATTTTCTGAAAGTACAACTCCTACTACTGATACACCTCAACCAATTTTACTCGAAAATTTGACAGATAACAATGCAACACAAATAATCAATAGTGGTAATAATATTAGTTCAGATTATATGCTTACTATTCCTGGTGATGTTCTTTCACGTTATCTTGCTCCATTGATAATTGCTTATTCAGATGAAAACTCATTTTCTTGTAGTGATACATCTGATAAATTAAATTCTTCTTTTACATCTTCTAATGCACCTACATATGTTAAATTAGATGTATTAACTTATACAGTTGATGTAAATGCCGACATTAAAGGTTACTATTCTAGTCTTACACCTCCAATACATTTATGTACTTACTGGCGTTGTGAAGCATTAACCACAGATTTTCGTTTGGATTATACAGCACAATGGCCTACACCAACTGCTGCTAAGGAGTACGTTCTTTTTTATTGTTTTTGCGTAATTCAATGATATTTTTGATGGTTTGTTTTACACATAATTGATCCCGCTAATTATACGCTGAGTTATTTCTGACTTTTGTTCCTTCAGTGATGAGGTGTGGCAACTTGGACCGATGCTTGTATGTACCTGGTCCTACTTTGTAACTGGCTGACTGACCTTCATTGATGAAGACTGACCATTCTGCTTTCTGTTTTCAACTCAAGCTAATCCGAAAATCAAATCTTATTTGTAAGATTTATTGAAAACACTAAAGAAGATAAATGTGTGTACAATGTCTTTGAATAAAGTCCAAAAGGTTATTATATTAAAAAAAGTGAAGATACTGGTTTCATGGCCACATCAAAAGTGAAAGAAGTCTTCTGTGAAAATTTGGCAGACCAAATCAAAATTTCAATTTCTTTTCAAAATGTCGAGCATCAAAACCGAATTTCATGCGCCTAACAACCCCTAACAATAACCAATCGAAAATTCCAGAATTAGTGGTAATTTATAACTGTAGACAGAACTAGGCCAGTGAGATAAAACTTAATTCCATATAGTTTTTGGTCAAATGTAATGTGTCATTCTACTGTCTAGTGTATCCTGACTTCGTTACTATACTAAACACTTTCCAGATTCGAAAAATAACTAGAAGCGAACACCACTTGTTCCAACAACTCGAGTGTTGAACATACAGTAGTAAGAATATTGGAGTTTATATAAGATTTACATAAATTCTTAGCATCTCGATCCGTTCACCAGAGCTGATTGATTGAAAATGAACTAATCAGGGTGTTCCAATTCTAGCCTAATTAGTTCATTCAGTAGTCAGAACTTTATTCTACACCAACAGAAATGATATCCAGTTGGGAAAAAAATGTAACAAGGTACTTCATTGTAAAATGTTTTACTTGCATACTCACCCACTTTACTTATTTTCAATAATAACTCATTAACTTGTTTCTACGATAAATTCAATTTGTTTGGATCATGCATTATGTTATGAATGAACAGATTCATTGTGATTCTGTTTTCATGTTCATGGTTAAATTGCATTTCATTAAATCAAGTATGGACATTTATTTTTTTATGGGAATATAATCATTCAATATAAAATTTATTAAATGTTGACTTATTGATGTTATCCGCCTGAAACACTAATACTATTATTGCAGTACTATTCATTATGATCAAAAATTATATTCTGTCTACAGATATTTCATTTGATATAATCTTAATTAATTAATAATAATTTTTCTTATTAGATCTGTGAAAAATACTGGAGATTTGCGAATAAATCTCATGATTGATGGAACTGTTAGTCATATGCAAAGTCTTCCAGTTGGTACGTGGCTCCCAGAAGTTAATCATGCTACATGGCGTATCCCACTTCACAATGCTAATATTGATCGTGACTTATCAAGGGATACTACTAGTAATAATGCACATCGATCCGAATTCACTTCGAAATTTGATGCAACTGGTACTGTTCGAGCGAAATTCACATTAACAAATGGTCCAGGAAAGCCACAACCTGTTAGTTTACAATTCTATCGTGAAGGCTCCTCAGCTAGTGGTGTACAATTATTTGTTATTTCATCTGATTATCATATGAATTTATGTAAATATCGTTTGATTGGTGATCGGTATATATGTGATCCACCAACAAATCTGAATCGTTTTCACTCAAATTCAACGCTTCAATTAGAACAAAGTAACAATAATATAAAAGAAAAATTTGGTTCTCTAGTTGTTACTGAAAACAAGAGCGTTAAAAATAAAAATGATAGTATAAATGAGCATAAAATAAATTCAACTAATTTATCTGCAATCTCTGATACGATTAAATTTAGTCATTTACAGTAAAAGTGATTTTTCATTTTTTGTGCCTTCAATGAATCCATTAATTAAATATGCATAATTTCCTTTGAAAATTAGTTATAATTTGATTCAATGAACTCTTGTGCCAACTAATTCTCTTGTTATTATTGTTACATTAACTAACTGATATTGCAAATACACCACATAAATCATTTTACACCTGATTAACTAGTTTTATATATATATAAATTCTTCCTTCTCTTTCTGTTTGCATTCATTTACTTATTCTAAGTGATTATTATTATTTTGAGAACATTTAAAGCAAATATGTAAATTTCGGTAATTACTCGTCGAGTTTTACAATTACAAAATAAAAATATTTGAGTTCGATTGCACTGAATCGAATTCTATGTGAAACATGTACTTCTGTTTTATTCTCATTATTCTCAGCTGTGTTTTACACACACATATATATACTTGTTCATATTATTAATAATTCATTCATTCTATTATTCTTTTACAAAAGTTTTACCAAACTAGATTTGAATAAAACTTACATGACTTTCTTATATTGGCTATCATCACACTGTATCATTTAATTCATATACGCCTATAATTATTCAACTAACCATGATGGTTCGAATACTTTGATGAATAAATATTTTTATTTTTGTAAATTGTTTAATGAGAAATCACTGAGATTTATATATCTGCTCAAATGATTTTGTCAATTTATAATGATGGGGATCGCTTAGCATTATTACATCATTAATAAAAAAAACTAATCAACTGTCAATCTATCTATACTGACCACCTAATAATATGTATTGATTATTCCAGTGTATATTGAATCCCCCTAGTATGTTCTCGCTTAAATCTTTACTACAATAATTCTTTTAATCAGAATAATTATCTTAGAGGGAGCTAGAGAGGTGGAAATCGGTACTTTTCGTCTTTTACTGCTTATGTCATCTTTCGTACGGAATGCTTTCTCGTGTATTTGTCCAAATGATACCTAATACCTACCTGTTTATGAATAATTTCTTATGTATGTCAGTATTAGTTACTCATGTGTACTGATAATCGTTGAGATATTGATTGTTTATTTCGTTAACACCAACATACAGATAATTGGATTCTGCATTGTACCTTTTCATATACCTGTTTTTATCACCTACTATCCTTCCAACAAAATGTAAATTTAATACTGACTTCTCTTTCATTTCAATTATTATTATTATCATTATTAATAATCTTAACAATTTGTGCTGAGAAAGTATGGATTAGTAATTAAGTTCGATTCATTTATTCTTTGCCCGTTTTCATTGAATTTTTCTGCCTTTCCTCTTGCACTGAGATGAGTAGCCATATAGTCACTTAATTCGCATGTTAAAAAATTCTCTGTCTATCTTTAAATATTTTACTTCGAATAATGTATATTATTGATTCTTAGTCGTGTTGTCAATTCTGGTAGTCAGATTTTAATGATGATGACTATCATTATCATCAAATTAATAAATTGTTAATTGATGAGTAGACTGTAATGTTATGCCTTTATTACTGCAAATAATGATTACTTACTGTATGCTTGTCGATAACTTAGTATAAGCTTGTGTATATTTAGCTTTTCTGGCCATCAGCGACTATCTTGCTACGTACCCAAACCGAAATTTCCAGAGCTAGATTCATATTTGTGATCCAAGCATACTAAATGTCAAATTTTCTAACCAATTAACTATTGATATTTCTATAACTGGAACATACAGTCAACATTTTACTAAAAGTGTTCATCAGTTATTTAAAACGAATTTACCAACTTACTATCAAACATTATGAAAGCAAACATAAGATATAAATCTAACTCAAAGAGTAGAGATAACAGGTATAGTGATGATGGTCTAGTCCTTCTCAAAGTTTGATTGTCAGTCTTTAGCATTACAATCGGTATTTTTATCTTACAATTTATGCTTTCCAAGTAAGCATAACAGTGATACTATCAAACTGGTTCACATTGTAACTTAATTTTATATTGATAATCCCACTTACCATACAAACGTTCATGTAATCAACTTTGAACCGCACTGTTTGAAGGTTAGTGATATTGCCCCGGCTTCCTAGACCAAAAAAGGTACAAAAACCTTCAACCACTAAAACACTGCTTAACATCTGTGTACGCATTCTGATGTTCACAAAATAATATTTGTTGGTCTTTTATTATTCAATACAAATATGCATTCGGTTATACCTACATGAATATAATTTGTTTTTTTAACTAAAGAAAAAAAGTTATTTGTTATAAAGAGACAACGGCATTTCAAACTGTTACGTATAACAAAAACCCACTTTACATGCGGCAATATTCTACTCTAATATGTTTTCTATCCATTTATATAATTGCAATCTACTTCTTGAATTTATTGAAGCCTATCTTCTTTTTTTATATCTATCTACCTTTTTATTATTTTCTCTATCAGTTGTGATTTATTTTCAATGTTTCTGCTATTTTATTCAAACCACAATTAATATGTTCATTTTAAAAAGTAGAACATCAATTGATTTGCTTTTTCAAATACATCGAACGTGTTTAGCAACATAGTTCTGTCAATTATATTAGTAACTATCTTTTTTCTTTCTTTTCCATATTTTTAGTTTAAACAAAGTATGTGGTAAGGTTCATTTAAATAAAAATGAATTACAGTAAGACAATCATTTTTTCATCTGAAATTTTGTATTTTCAAAATGATTATTATTTACTACATAAAATCACATAAACTGATAAGAACTAAGTATTCAACTTTAAAATTCCGTTCTGTTATTGTATAACTTTATAATTAGGCTTCATTACAAAATGATAATTTACAAAAGATTTTTGTTTGAATTTATTTCTCACAAATTAAAAAATTTCAATAAACTAAAATAACCGGCATATTTTATAAGATAAAATAATAACAAGGATATAGTCTTTTAAGAGAATGATGCATACATAAGATAAAGTAAAATTCAATCATGTGAATATAATTATTTATAGAATGGAAAACAAAATCAAAGGCGTTCCTACCAAATGTAATCTGAACCACTGTCGATATCAACGCTACAAGATAAAAATGAAACGGATAAAAATGTCTTGATTAAATGTTGGCACAAAGATGATATTTATTAAAACTTAAGTGTCAGATTTCTATATTTTATGTGGTATATATATATATATATATATATATATATATATATATATATATATATATATGATGAAACGCTAACTGATTTCACCTGTGGAGCGATAGCTTATTTGATAAAACACTCGACCTTCAACTACTAGGTCACAAGTTCGAGCCCCGCTTAATGTAGTTCGAACCAGGCGGTTGAGTAGTATCACCGGTAGTTACACAGCATATTTCGAAGCTGAGTATACGAACCCGCGCTTGACAAGATAGGTCACATAAACTAGATTTATGATATTCAACTTAGAAAATTTTTATTATCTTTCCAGTAACTTGTACTAAAGTTTTATTTTGCGCCTATTTAAATTCATGAGGAATTATATTTCAACTAAGTCTAGGATAGAGTGAAACGAGCCAAGTGAATAATTCTAATTGTTTGTTTAGTGGTAACTTATCATTGAGATAATTTTTAATGAAAGTCGAATTTAAGACTATGAATACAATGATCTTGAGTGCTGTTAGAGGTATGAGGGCGGTTATCACTTCCCGGTTGGAAGGGTTCTTCTGGAGGTATCTGAAAAGGAAATTGGATTAGAGGTGGTCTTAGTGACCTGGAGCATGACCGCAGTGCCCAAGGGACAACTGCTTGAGGTCGGTCACACACGACCTTTTTATGGGTAATTTTTGTGTTAGCTCCGTACTTTTTGGGACCTTACCGCCGGAGACGGATATTCGTGGGATAAGGTGAGGTGTGCATTTTTAGAGTCGACCTTTTCTAATCCCACCCCTCCTTGTGGGAAGGCAGCATCGCTGTCATGCTGGTTGTCTGAAGGAAACACCTTACTGCTGTCACACCTCTGTACAGTCAGCAGTACGACTGCGCATTCGGACCTTGGGTTTGTTGCTTTTAGTATTACCGCTCATCAACCGACCTGTCTGACATGGTAGGACCTTGAGGAACGGTTGTTCCAGCCAGTATAGCTCGGTTGCTTCATCACGATAGGCAAGCCCGACCACCACGTCAAGGTAGCAACAACGGTCGGGCCAATTTAAGATGTCACAACTTGTATAATTAACCAATAACATGCTATTGACACTATCTATGACTATAGTGTACTGATATTACGAATCGAATAAGGTTTACAATGTTTTCTATTTTGAGATCGATAGTAAGATTATTTTAATAAGAAACTAAATCTACTCAAACTGTATAGACTGAAAGACTAATACGCAACACTTAAACGATAATCTCCCGCTCAATGAAACCAAGAAAAATTAGGAACTCAGAAAAAAGCTTGATATTCAGTGGTCAAAATGATAACAGAAAACAAAGGTGATCTTATATCACATAATAAAAATTTCAAACTAAAAACAAGAATAACCAATCACAAAAACATCAAGGGTCAGTGTAGAAATATGAATTGAGAAATTGTTAACGCAGACTACCCTATATATTTGAACTATCATTTACCAAAAATAAGAAAACGAGGTAATTTACGGCCATCGTAATACAATGTGAATCATTAGGACGTGATGCAGTAGTCTAACGATGATGCACTTGCCTTTGAGATCTGGGTAGAGTCTTATTCACTATTAGACTGGAGTAAAATAATCGTCCGGTTATCCGGAATAACAATTTTTCTTAAACTGATGGGAATTTCGTACGATACCTATTGTCAAATCAGTTTACAAAGGAAACCGAAAGACAATGTTACGTGCACATATAAAATATTTTAAAAAATGCTAATCATGAAAAGCGATAGCTACCAGAGTGAACACACCATAAAATTAACTATTGAGTCAAGCAAAACAAAATGGTCTTATTAATAAAAAAGGTTAGTAGATCAATTATGTCACTTGGCTTAAACAGAAATAAAGACACCTGGTATCTTGAAAGGACATGAATAGGATTTTTGTTTATCAATTAAATAACTGTTCCTAGTACCTATTGATTTCCAGTATAATGCTTGCCAAATATATTTACTTTTCCCATAATAGTTTGTATATAAGGAAAACTAACAATATGTACTGTCATAGTTAAGAGTATGGGAAAATCAATACTGATGCCAAAAAGTAGTATGAAAAAAAATGTTGTTTTCTTTCCAAACCCCAAATGTTTCAAATGTATATTTGTATACATATCAAAATCTTGTTTAGGAAAACAACTGTATAACAGGCCCTAGCATACTGTATTGTCAGTATGGGTGACACATGAGACAGTCATTATCACTACATCCATACCTTAAGTATCACATAATGTAGATTGTATAATAAATAATGTTTACAAGAAACCATTGTCAAATTATTACACAATCTAAATTCGTCAAAAAGATTAATTGTATTATACACAATATAACTGTTACTTATGCATATGTTAAACGGGTTACCTATCAAGTGTTTTTTTTGATAAAGTAGACGCAATTTCAATATTCTAGGGAGTTTTGGAGGTAAAAGCATTTTTTAAAATACTGAGACGATTTTCTGCCCGATGAATGACACCATGTACGAAACATGTTCAAAACGCTTGTTTTATTATTCCTTAGTATCTAAGACCAAGTATGGTGTACTTTGTTGAAATGACATTATGATAAACCTCGTATGTTTAGTTAAGTAGGCAATGAGGATAAAATTAAACACGTAAGAGTAACTTGCTACACAATGACTAACTAAAACTCTATTGTGTACAGAACACATATTTGTATATCCAGAATGATACTCTTAGAAAGCAAACTTAAGTTTATTCTACATTAAAAATTGACATAAAAGCATTGTAAATGTATGGGAACTAGAGAATTCCTCCACTTTAGTTTGGAACTCTGCAATAAAGGGCACTCATGATACTGAACCGGTTCGAACTCAGAACCTTCAACTTTCCTGCAATCAGTACATTTTTGGATCACTTTTGAAAATAAACTGCGATCGTGCAGGGATGAATCTACTTAAATGAAAGATCCAAACGATCACCATAAGACCCACAAGTCTAGGATTTCATCCCAAAGTTTATCGTAAGTTTGTATTGCTGGGAAATTACATACTAAGGTAAAGCTATTTTCCAGTACTGATGTCAGTGTAGGGTGAAAACAGTAATAGTTCAATAAAGTGTAAATTGTTGTATGTCATAGAAATACACCAAATAAAACTGGAAACGTTTACATAATCATAGAAATGATCAAGTTGCTGAGGCTTAGATTATTGATTAGTTACTTTGATATTTTGATCTACAATCGTAATGGTAATAATCAAACGTTTTGAATTATGATTTATTATCATTTCACATGAAATATGATATATTTTTTCGCTTACTCATTTGGAATTAATTCATCTTTGTTGAAATTTCCTGGTGTAAAATGACACTTAGTTTTACCATTATTCAAACTGATAATCTCTGATTCACTAGAACTAAAATGATGCTTTAAAATGGAGAATAATAAAAAAACAGTAGAAAAAAGATAACAGTTCAACATAATTGATAGATAATCACAGTTATTATGCAGTAAGTAATCAATAAAACAAATATGATTTATTCAATTTGGTTACAATTAACAATGTACAGTTGAACTAGCTGGAAATCAAATCGATTTAAATACAGTAAATCAGTGCTACTGTTTTCGAGACATAAAAATGGTTTATATTTAAAATAGACAAAATACATAATTATTGAATGAATTAAAATTACGGTGTCTGTACGAAAGTCAATAAAAAATTTTGCTATAAAAACTTAAAAGGATTTAATGATGTGCAGATTAAAATGAATTGTCGACGATATCCAACTTAAAAACCTTAAGTCACCTATTTTCCAACTATGGAAATATTTCAATATGTATTTATGCTTTCAACTTGTTTTAATGGACTAATCATATAGGTTAACTGTGTAATCAAGTGGAACAATCACAATATTTGGTATATTTTTCACTTTACATATTCTGTGGAGAAACAAGAGGTAATCATCATCAAATATAGAAATCAACAAATTATACTAAAAGTTATGTTCAGGATGTATTTTTACTGATTTCCACCTTATTTAATAGTGTCTTAAAGCTATCCTAATTTGAAAGAAGTAATCCGATGAGGGTTGGGAAGCAGTGTCCTGAACTAACAACTTGGAATTTGAATAAATATCCTCATGAATTTTCCAAGTCTATTGAATATTTAAACACCAGCACTGTACCCACTATGTGTTAGCTTTGTGATATATGCTCGTGAAAATTATGGCGCGAAAACTATTTTGATTTGTCTCCATGCCCAATGCTAACTGGATATGTAAGTGTGAAGTTTTCACATCATTATCGTTCGTGCTTTACTTTTGATAAAGATATGTTATTAAAAGATCAATTGTCAAAACCAATATCTGGTAAAAATAAGAGAAAAGGACCATTTCCACTCACTCCATTCTCGAACCATAAGGGTTTTTCTTTTGAACTAGGTGAATGATATCCATTTGTTATCCTAGTTCCGTTCACTGCTTCATTACATGTATTAGACACCGGTGATTTAGAACTAGTATTTAAACTAAGCTTTAAATATTTTTCCATTAAACCATTATAATCAGTTTGTTTTGTTATTGTATGGCGTGATGTTGGTGAGGTATTCTCATTGGATATAGGTTTGTTCTGATCATCATTACCCAGTGAACACTGTTTCAGTGAACCTATTGAAGTCAGAAAACAGAGAAGAATATTTTTTTCATTAGGCGTATAAAATCAAAGTGACATTCAAAAAACAATTGAGTATGATTTGTACGTTGCTATTTCAATAGGTACACAAGATTGTTGATATTTTTGTAACTGAATAGTAACCCAAGTTATGTCTACCCAGCTGCTTAGTTTTGATTTGATTTTATCGGTCAGGTTCCACTGTTTTCAATAGTTCAAGCATCATGGCATCTCGTGCACTATGTTCTGCTTGATATTTCCTTCTTTGACAAAATTTATGTAAATCTAGAACTGATGAGGCAATGAACTGATCCGATGAATTTACACTAAATGAAATTGAAAGCGACATCTGTATGTATTCTGAAACAACGCTACACAATATTTTAATCATTAGGTCAAACAAGAATATGATTATAAATAAGTGCTTCAAAATTCAGTTTAGAATTCTGTGTTAAACTGATAAATTTGAAACTGATTGTCATTACGGAACTGATATCGTTCGAAGAAGAATAAAAATATAACTAAGATCGATTCATGAATTCAACTATTAAAATTGCTACAATCTCCAAAATCGCCGTTCTGATATTAATCATGTGCTCACTAGTGACGAGATTCAAGATGGATTTCTTGGAGTTTTAATCAGAAGCTGTGATCAGTGGAGTCCAATCCGTCTCGTGTGGAGATAGTTATCCACCTCAGACGATGGATGAAGGGTTGAGAAAGATCATGGATCGATTGAAGTTAGACATTAACACCGTTGGATGCCGGCTCAGTAGTCTAAATGTTAAACGTTTGCGCGCAAGACCGAAGCTCCTGGGCTCGAATCCCGCGTGCGAAACCATAGGTGCACACTGCTGATGAATTCCATACTCCGGCGAAACGGCTGTCCAGTGCTCCCAGGTTTTCAATGGTGATCTAGCTTAGATAATCTCACAAATTCAACTATCGAAATATAGGTATCATTAACAAGGTTTGATTTTATAATTTCGAATAAATTGAGCATTGGGTAGGTTGTTATAAATAAATAATATATTATTTGTTTATTTATATTAAAATATAGTATACTTGTATAATTACTCAAGTATTATTCAAAAGACAAGATTTGGATGTCTACTGATGACATATGAAGTATAACACAAATGAATTTAAATCAAAAGTAAGGAATTGTTGTATTCCAAATAAGTGACCGAACGATAATGATGACAAAACACGTTATCAGATCAATACTGTAAGTTTTTCGGTTTTTAAACAAATATATTACTATACACTTAACATTGTAAAGAAGATAATCATAAAATATATGATGTTCCTTTTTTCAATGAAAAATCTTATGATAACCAGTTTTAAACCCGTGATATAATTTCTTAATAAATATTACAATATATGGTATAAATAAATACACATTGAAATATTGAACAATTATTGGATGATAATTAAATAGTAAACTAGATTCCATTCAATTTAAAAACAACTTAATCAAAATGTACAAGTACAAGTACAATACTTTTGCATTTTATTTAAAAAAGAAAACAAATAGAATTTTAGATTAATTTAGTTCTCCATCATAAGTACCTAATAATTAATTGATTGTAGAGTTTATGTCAATGATTGGTTTAAAAAGAAAAATAATTCCATGATTATGATGAACTTGTTTATTTGCTTTAGAATAAAGATGTAATTAAATGATAATGACAAACCAATCAGATTTAAGATAGTGTTTCACTGATGCCAATCAGTGATTAAACTCCGAACCATAATTTCTTATCCTAACTTCTTATTCAAACTCCTAATCTTAATTCATAACACTATTTATTTCATTACCCTAGTTTGAGTCGAAGTGGTTGAGATTTTGTAAGGTCATTTCTAAAAGTGCTCAAGATCGTCCCTATACTTTAGTTCCACCAAAATGAAAGAAAACACAGATGAAAGAATACCAAGAAAAACAAATATTGAAAATATGAATAGCCACAATACCTAAAATGGTCTGACTAACTAATTTAAACTGTGTTGTAAAATAATTCACAGACAATTTGACTTATCGACCAATAAAATAATCGGATATGAATTTCTTTCTCTCAATCAATAAGTCAACAAAAGTCAATCATGACATCGGTTATTTAATGTATATTAAACAAGTTTAACTTGTCATATTTTACAGTCCAATATGACCTTAAATGGAAAACAAAGCTACTGGGAATCACTGATATTTAAGAAATGTCTTAAAGAAGTGCTTATAACTACATTATTATTATTATTATTATTATTATTATTATTATTATTATTATTATTATTATTATTATTATTATGTCTCACAATTTTAACAATCCACATCATTCACCCTGATTAAGTCGTTTGCTTCTTTTGTTTGGAAGCTGTTTTACATTATGTTATTTTACTAACCAATTCATGTTTCCTAATGTTTTCTTGCCTAGAATTAGTAAGTTATAGGATGATCAGTCAATGCTTTTTTCTACAGAATTCAAATAGAAACAAACATAAAGAAAATGTTAACAAAAAGTCAAAAAAAAATCGACGACAAAACCTTTCAAAAATGAAGACTTTTAGCCACAAGGGACACTGGGTACACCATTCCTACTGTATTTTAAAACTGGCCTCACTCCATTACTAATACTGTGCCTACTTTCTTACTTACTTACGCCTGTTATCCCCTTCCCGTGTACGAGCATAGGCCGCTCACCAGTTTAATCCATTAAACTCTGTCCTGAGAATTCCTTTCCAGCTCTTTCCAGTTGATATTCATCCTTTTCATGTTTGCTTTCAATTACCGACGCAACGTGTTCCTTGATCTTCCACTTTTTCTTTTTCCTTCAGGATTCCAAGTTAAAGCCTGTTTCGTGATGCAATTTGATGATGCCTACAATGTATGTCCCATCCACTTTCGGTATCGTTTTCTCATTTTTTCCCAAATGGAAGCTTGTATGTTCTCTGCCTGAGCAGGCTGTTGCTGATGGTATCCGGCTAACGGAAATTTGTTCATAAATACTTGTACCTTTTTCATGATAATTATGGTAGTTTTCTAAGTTTCTGCTCCGTACAGTAGAACTGTCTTGGCTCTGACTTGGATGTTGCCTTGCATACAGTTGTTTTGAGTTCGAAATGTTCTTTAATTCTGCCTGCAGCTCTTTTATGGTTAACGCTGGTTTCAAGCACGTGTAAAGGAGGAGTGTTAGACATGGGATTATCAACCCTATCCCACAGAAAACAACCTTGTTAAATAATCGTTAGCCAGGATAAACAAATTAAACCATTTAAACCCAACCCTCCGAGTTGAATGATCTTCATTGAGAAGAATTATGACGCCACATGGTGAGAGCCGAGATTCTTCGGAAGTCACGAGACAAATGCACTATCTAACAATCAGAGCAACCATCAATACATAGAAATGGAATAATACTACGCTAAACAATAGAAAATCTACCGAAGTGTGTGCTTATTCATTTTTTTCAAAAAAAAATTAAGTTTAAAAACCAATTCTTATAATCATTTGATATGTGAATAACTTTTGTTTATTAATTGACAGTAGTAGAACAACGTGTGTGTGTGTGTGACAAAGCACAACAATTTGTTTGCTGTTTTATTCTTGTGAGTAGACAACAACAAAAACAAAGTTGAACAAACCCTTATTTCTTTTTCTTAATTAATTTGTCATCATAACTTGACATTATAATGCTTTACAACTCATAATAAGATCGTTACTATTTAGGTTAACATGAGTTGTGTGATGGGCTATTTTAAATTAATTAAGAAATAGACTGTTAGCTAACTGAACTTTATACTTGAATGCTATTGATTTTATGAATAAATTTTGAAAACAAAACCTGCATATTAATGTGGAGTTGATGATAGTGATTACGATAACTGCATAAAGGTCATTAACTGTTAGTTTGAGTTATATTGATAGTATGAGATGTAGTGTTTAGGTTTCATGCAATAACCGGGATCAGTAGGTTTGAGATGTTGAATGACATAAGTCAGTTGCACTTACCCTTTATCTTACTCTAAATCTTGAATCCCGATGTCCATTCATACAAGCCTTCTCATTCTGTTTTTTTTTAAAACTATATGCTGAACATCTATTTAATATTTCATTGTCGTTACTACTGCGTTATTTCGACACCATTACTATTCATCTTGGTTAATTTCGTCTCATAATGTTAATATGATATGGTAACTTAAGCTAGTTGACATTTGTAATATCTCAACAATTGAAATTACTAAAATCTCCACAAAACCACCTTCTGATATCCATTATGTTGAATATGACTGACTGATGACAGAAGTAATGATGAACGTTAACTGAAATAAAATATCCGCTGGTTAACTGTTTGTTTGTTCGTTTTACATCACTGTTTCAATGGGAATTCTAAGTTGCTTATTATTTCAATAACAATGTCACTATTATTATGTAAATTACACATTCATTGGTAACCTATATAATCTATATTTTTCAAAGATAAATTTAAAGCACTAATGTACTTTCATGGTTTTGCATTGCTTATTTACTCTCGTAGTCATACATCTATACTAGATCATAGATATATTGTTGCAATGAGACGATAAACGAAAATGTCAATATTTGTTCTTTAGTTGATTTGTTATAACTTGTCATTTGAATGCTGATTGTCTTGGCTCTTTTAATGCAACTTTTTATATCTGGTCGTCGCTGATTGTTATATCGGAAACGCTTATCACTTATACTCAAAACGAGGGACCTCTGCAATTCCTACGATGCGAAAGTATGAACACAAAAACTGAAGATTTATTGACCCCCTAAAACACGACGACGACGCTAGTCAAAAATACACTCACTTATATATTGATTGTATACACACTTTGATTAATAATTAGGATGAAATCACACATATGAAAAATACTTAGATTTATAACAAATTATATGCTGAGTATAGATCTTGTCAACAATGTCGTATGTTATACAAAATAAAATATCACATTGGAAAACAAAACCGAATGCTACACTGAATAATGGTCACATTCAAACAAAAACGGAAGTAATGTTGAACAAAACTCAGAATTTTGACTTCTCTTCCCATCATATCATGATTAATTTTAACATCGATAATTTAATGGATTATACGTGATTTGATTATTTTCGTAGGTCACAGATAACGATCCGGTTATATCAAGAAGCAATTGAAGTTAGGGCTTGAAACTAATTGATTCAATGGTATAAGTCTTTTTTTGAAAAACCTAAAAATTTGGAAATTCGATTGCTCAATTTTTATTCGTTCGGAAACTAACATCAAAACACAATCATAACACGTCGATATCACTCATTTTGACTTAAGAACAAGGTGAAATTAAGTGCTGTTAGAGGTATATGGGTAGTTGTTAGTTCTCGACTGACTAAACTGGAAGCATGACCACTGAATAGAAGGAACATTTGCTTGTGTCCTGTCAAAACGGTCGTTTTAGTTCTCAAATATTGAAAAAAATGTTCTTTCACTTCATGCATTCATTAAACTGTTCAAAAACTCATTCAACAATAAACCATAATGATGATATCATTCATATTTTGGTGAGGTTTCATTCTCTGGGATTATGATTGTCTAGAAGCATAACAAAAATTTCACGATTAAACCATGCACCTCATATCACGAAACTTCACTAAAATCACACACTCAAATTGAATAGTTTCTCGATTTCATTTTTCAAATGAAACAAAACAACTTGTTATACGAGCAACATGAAAACAGTAACAAGTAGAAAATAAATTTCTTTTTAATAACAAACATTTAATCAAATTTCTATGCTTACCTTCATAACGTGAGGTTTCCAGAAGTAACGGAAACCCATTTTCAATAGTATCATTATTATGATTATTATTTGCAATTTCGTCATTGAGATTAGTCTGATTTGAATTAAAGAATTCTTTTTGTTCTTCGTTTTCATTATTATCTTGTTCACTACACACAGATTTATTTTCATTATCATTCTTGTTAAATTGACATGAAATAGTATGGTTCAACATTTCGTTGGCTAATGAATTAGTTTGAGAATTTCTTGAAGTTTTGGACTCAGCGGATTCTGCTTGAGATATTGATTCTGTAGAGAGTACACTTTTTGATCTATAACTTGAAAGGTGATCAATTGATGACTTCTTAAAACTATGATGAGTAACAGTTGAAGATGATTTTATAGGCTTATGAGAACTTATACTTAATGTTTCATTGGAGGATTTTTTTAACTCTATAAAATATAATAAAGTATTACGATTTTGTAAAACAAAAATAAATACTTTGAAAAAACTGACGACAATATAACAGTACAGAAAGGAACATTTAAACCATGGATTTTTTTAATCATAGTCTAATATATAAACAACACAGATTAAAGTGTCAGTAACACACATTAAGTCGTTTTAGTAAATGGGATTATTTAATTTTAAAAAATGATTTAAAAACTGAAAGGATTCTTTAAACTGATACTCATATCCTAACGACAAATATAATAATACTGAATTCCTCGTGCTTCACACTGACTGACTGGATTCGAAAATAAAACTCATCATAGCTCAACTCACTGGTATTAAGTTTAATAGATCATCACATGTACTGAATCGCCTTAGTTCGACACCTGGCAAAATCATGTATGGATATTGTTGAAGACTCCCATAACAAAACAAAACACTAATTCAATTTCTTTCTAGTTCTTATTTGTTACCTAGCTAATATCAGCTTATGTTCCAACCAATCTTCAAATCAAACAACCCCCACAAATCACCTGTACCATAAGTTACCATATATTCATGCTTATAACTATCTTCGAGAAAAATTCCTAAACTTCTGGTGAGAAGCAGTGGCTACTGAAATTCAATCATTTCAGGTACGAGATAGAATATAACGGATGATAGCAAGTGATGGTCGCTTAATATTGCTAATATTTTTCGATAAATAAAATAGTCTAATTTCAACGAAAATCAATACCAACATAGTTACTGCTCATTAGTATGTAAATAAAGTCATTCATTCATAGATATAACCACATAAATAACAATGACGTTATTTATAGAACACCTATCATTATTATTACAGAAATAATTTTTAAAAATCTATTAGTCTGTATCTGTCAAAAACATCTTAGTGACTATATATAATTCACCACGAAATGTACACATAATTAGACATGATAAACTCATTCACTAAAAGTTTATAAATATGTTTTATGCTTTAGTCTTTGGGTTTTTAACTGAAACAAGAAAATAATTAATACTTTTATATTAATTTCTTACAAGATTGACACATAATACACTCCAATTTCGTATAACTTAAGTACCGTACCTTGAAACTTTATTGATCAAGTACAATGATAATTTCAGAACAATTTTATCTACTATTGAACAACAACCAATTTGTATGATATTACATTTGATCACTCAAAAATAGATTCATCACGAAATATGTATAATCCACAGGTTGTGATAATTAAAAAAAACGATTTCAACTATAATCCAGTATTTGATCATATAATGCAATGATCTTACCCTATTGTTTGACTAAACCAGCATGTTATCAGTTAAGAAAAACGACAGGATACTAAATTTTAAACGAGTTAAATGTTACTTTTTTTTATTCACCAGTATTATGACAGTTTTTTTCTAGTTCTGATGTAAATTCTAAATAAAAAGACTGCACGTTTACTCATAACAATATAAACAAACTTTTGTTTTTATACAAGAACTAAAGTTGAAGTGGATCTTCTGTCGAGCTACTGTTAATTTATTTGTTTGACCTGATAGTAGCGACTTAGAATCTGTTTGGGATTTCATGGGCTCAGTGCCCAAACATAACAGATTCAATAAATATCATTGTGTAAAGCCAGTGTTCCTTTTAAAATTTCCTGCAACATTGTCTTTCATTTTAATCGGTAAACCTATTTCTCCTGTATTCATTGAATTGATGTGAAACTTGTGGCGGACCACATATATTTATCAAACTAACAACATGTTCGTAGCCGTCTAGATCCAACATGTTATTGACCAAAAATAAAAAGAACAATAAAAGATGGATATATCTAATAGGCAGACCAGTTTGTGGAAAAATAACACAGAAAAATAACCTTATGTTCTTTAATAGTTTTTGTCTGAAAATCGATAGTTAACGATGTACCAGCTTACATTAATCGATAACTGATTCTTATCCAGTGTCACATTTATGAATTCTACTGCTGAATTTTAAATTGAAGCCATCAGTTCACGTTATAGTAAGTCACAATGTTATTTGGTGTTAGGTATTTGAGAGTGATTGACAGGAAGACCTGTAACTAACTTTGCAACTCGACTACACGAACCAAAAAAGGTGTATCTCAAATCATGAAAAGTTCATTTTCCGAAAGGATATGTAAAATAATGTGATGCAGTTTCAGAATCAGAGACATTCTCACAGCTTCGTAAAACCACTGAAATATGACTTCAGTTTAAATGAATTTTAGATCCATTTATATCTAGTTTTTTACTTTGGTTATGATATATATATATATATATATATATATATATATATATATATTGAGAGAGAGAGCTTATTTGTTGATTATAAGTAAAGTTTTCATCCAGTTAATTTTCGTATATCATTTAGTATGAATTCGGTTAATTTGACTTCCAGTATATTTTATTGTATTAATTAAATATGGAATTTGCGTTCAAGGAAGTTATTTGGTTTGATAATTCCTACAATCGGACTGGAGTGTAATCTGACGTTCTTCGTTTCAAGAATTGTTTGGAAGTAGTTAATGTTGAGTTGGCGTATCCTCGTTTTCGTCAGAGTAAACACTTTTACAACGGACCTCAACAGCTAATACATACCTTAGTTTATTGTGAATAACTTTAGTCAATTAGTCGTATAGAACATAAAACCTGACACATATGCGTCGGTTCAACTTACAACATCAGATTAGGATAGCGAGTTAAAAAATATCAAGATAAATCTCATGATAGAAGTTTTAGCAATATCTGTACTAGCATAAATGACTAGGTGTAGAAAGAAAAATATGAGTATATTTCAGAACTCAGGAACTAATGTAAGATAAATAGTGGATTCGTTTTATCCAAAGTTTCCAACCAGTGGTTACAATTATCATGCGCAACCCGACCATTTAATCTTCATACACCGACATGGTTCAGTACAACAGTCAATGACTTCATGTGTAGCGTGCACCACACATGGACTGATGTCGAGCCTTGGTTTGTCCTCTCATGGCTTTCTTCTGAAATATTCCTACATCAGATAACATCGCGCGCCGAGGTAGACAGTGATTAGTATACACAACACTTCCCAACCACCCCAGCCGACAAACAATTACTGCCTCTGTAGTGGAGGCTACTCGCAAGGGTGTTTGTAAGTAGTGTGTAGTGGAACATGGCACTGAAGTCGCAACAACTGTTAAACGAAGTGAAGGGTCAGTGCATCGAAAGCATGATGTTGAATGAACACTTGAAGACTAGAAAAGAAGACAGTTCAGATAGCAGAACACACCGAAAGATGCAAATCGACGGTTGATAGCTATGTATATGTATTATGTAAATACTTATTACTTCTCGGAAAAAATATACATTCCTTCTTCTCATTGTCGTATTTTACACCTCATCAATCGACTCTCCATCTTTATCTAGTACTCTGTCCCTAACTTGAGGACTGCCCACTCCATGGTCCATAAATGTACGAACGACCCTTCAAATACATTTATGATCGAATACTGGTAGCCCCAAAATGTCATCTATTCTTAATGCTCGTCTTTCACACCTATAAAGTAAAACGTAATGGACTGCTGTGCAATAAAATAGTCCTTTGGTTGGCAAACAGACATTTCTCCTACCGCACATGTGACACGAGTTGATAAAGACCAGTTGATCTTTGTGAATCCATAACGAGATTTTGTCGGACACCAACCCATTAGGGCTGACGAAACCTACAAGTCAAGTGAAGGGGTCGGGACACTGAAGTACCTCACTCCCTATCATTAGTTGAGGCATTGATACAGTCCTGAAGCAACATTTTAGGTTAGAAGGGAGAGAATTTCATCCGAAACATGTTTGTATTGTTACCAAATGCAGTCAGAAGACTTTTGTTATCCTCATCATCAGAACGAACTGTTATCTGTATATCCTAAGTCAACAAGTGAGTTTTCTGGTACGAAATCAATCCCTGAACAATTAAACGATGAGAGAATGTCTCTAAAAGAATGTCTATGATAAATGTAAATAAGGACAGTGGATTGATTTATATCAATAAATATGTTTTACAAGTGTAATTTTTGAGTATAACATCCATATAGCGATTTAGTCCATCAACAAAGAATGTTTGTCTTTGGTCTCAATATTCAGGCAAATGGAGTATTTGCACGATAATTTTCAAAAGTTATACGAGCGATAAGTGGTTAATAAAACAAATCTAGTTTTATCAGAAGGGATTTGTGGAGATTTTAGAAATTTTCACAGATTTAAATCATGAGTCAGTTGAAGCTAGACCACCATTGAAAACCTGGAAGCACTGGACGGCCGTTTCGTCCTAGTATGGGACTCCTCAGCAGTGCGCATCCACGATCCCGCACCACGCGGGGCTCGAACCCAGGACCTACTGGCTTCGCGCGCGAGCACTTAACCATTAGACCACTGAGCCGGCATCCAACGGTGTTAATGTCTAACTTCAACCAATCCACGAAGTTGCGCCACCATATACCATTGTCTTCAGTGAGCTGATATCTCACAACAGACCTGGTTGAACTCCACTGGTAACGGCTTCCCACTAGAACTCCAGGAGTATCTCTTGAAGTCAGTCACTAGTGAGCAGATGATTATTATCAGAAGGGGTTTGTGGAGATTTTAGAAATTTTCACAGATTTAAATCATGAGTCAGTTGAAGCTAGACCACCATTGAAAACCTGGAAGCACTGGACGGCCGTTTCGTCCTAGTATGGGACTCCTCAGCCGTCCAGTGCTTCCAGGTTTTCAATGGTGGTCTAGCTTCAACTGACTCATGATTTAAATCTGTGAAAAAATCTAGTTTTGTTTATATCTGTATGCAGATTAAAATTACGTAAATATGTGATTATCAGTTTAAATGTCGGTCATATGAAAACAAATTTGTTATTAACAGTTAACACGTAGTCCTTTTACAAATTCAAATAAATAAATAGTCCATAGTTTCGGATCAAGTTTACCTGCCAAAATCAATTTCAAAAGAATCCAGTTCAAATTTAGGTTAATAACATCCATTTAACCAGTTTGTAATGAGTTGGAAGTTCCATATAAAATGAAGTAATATCAGTACAGATTCTAATATATATAAATAAATAGTATCCAATGTTTTTGCCTTCGTTATTTCGAGTGAAATTGAGTTATTTACATTTTTTTAATGAAAATTAATAACTGTAACTTAAAATCTAAGCAGAAGCTTAATGTATGGCACTCATACTGGGAATTTCCTCCCAATATGTGTGTAAACCTGAGAAGACACACATTTATTCCAAATCCTCTACGGTTCACCATTAAGTTAAAGTAAGATGTATAAGATATATCAGTCACAGTTATAAAATAAAAAAGGTATTTTGGTTGAGATCTTCAAATAATGTGAAATTGCACAGTTAACCAACATTAAATTTATTTGATTGGTAATAATAATAAATTAATTATTGAAATAAATAATGAAATTTCATAAAACTTTCAATACAACCATTTCAATCTACCTAATTTCTTTGATTTTGGTGTGTCTATGCTGGATGAACTGGCTGAAAAATCAGGTATAATTCTTGCACTGGAATGAATTTGTGCATTTTGATTATTCTGTTCAAATCCTATCTTCACATTCCTTGAATACGTGGAACAGATACATTATAATAATAGTTTAAATAATAATAAGCCAAATACGTAACATTGTAGTTAATACGTAGATAAATATCAAAAAATTCTGAAACATAAGTGTTAGTTACAAATAACGAAGCTCAAAAGAACTTAATTTTCATTAGGAATAAGACCTAACTTCTCAAATGTTTTATCAATGATAAATATTCATTTCGAAAATCAGCCAGAACTGTGTGTGTAAAACATGTGTACATAGATTGTGGTACATTTTTAATGAAACTACACCGAAATGAAGTATTTCATTTTATCTGATTGTTCAAATAATTGTCGACTACGTTTGATGTGTCTGTAGCTTAGCTACAAACCACTTACACTACGTTATTAGTGATACACCTTAACAGACTGGTGAATATAAAGAACTTTTAACTTCTTATAACAATCAAATGTCTATGAATAGCATTTGAATCTTCATGCAGCCTTATGGATTATTTGATGAACAATTAGATTCAAGACGCTGACTCCTCACACATCACGGAGGTCAGATAGACAACCATAAATATTAAATAAGATAGTTAAAGGAAAACACAACTGTAGATTATAGATGAACAGTGACCCCTTATTGTAAGGGATAGCATTAATCTAGAACCAATAACTCACTGTCGACTATATGAATGGTTCTCCTTTTTACACTGGCATCTATCTTGGTGATTGAGGTTCTCACTAAGTGGAGTAATGTATTTCGAGGAAACTAAATGAATTCGGTTATCCATTTAGGAGTAAACATTTAGTGCTGATTATATCATTCAACGGTACTTTATTAGAAAGATCGACAAAGGTAATCAGATCATTTTTATCAGGTGTCTGTTTGTTTAAAAGAATCATTTAACTTTATGTTATAAAACGGTCTAATAATGAAGATTTACATTTTTGATAATGCTGTACACACTCATGGTGATATTTTCGCTCGAGTTATACTAACGGCTAGTAGGTTTACAAAATTGCGTGACAATTCAAAACATCTCTAGTAGAAATTATCTCAGCTAAAAATATACAAACAGATACTGAGTGATAAAAATTACCACAAGAAATCTTTACAAAGTCGATTCTTAAGAAAAAAGTACCTACTTTGATTCTGAGTTAGCTTTAGTATATGAGGCTAGATATTCATTCTCATGACATGGATTCATTTCAACTTGTTGATCATGAGGATTATGATGCTATATTTGCACAAAATGAGGAAAAAACGTCATTACAATAACAAAACATTATAAAGGATATCTAACAAAAGTGAACATAAGAATGTACATACAGTACATTTTATAAAGAATTCAATAATGTCGAAGGGAATATCATCGTATCTCAAAATGAATAATCTTATTCACTTATTAACAAAAACTCAAATCATTTATGCAATTTAAACAGATGATTAATGGAAATTTATTCATTTCAGAGAATTTTATCGTAGACTGACATAAGTTAGATAACTACTGTAAACCAAGAGGGGGTCATACTGATTTATTGTTTCATTTCATAATGAAATCTAACAGAAGTATACACTCACACATAAATCATCAAAGGCTATGGTGAATAAGATCTGTAATTTGCAATTCATCTTCATATATTTAGTTATATTTCAAATGATAATCAAATTTAAAGTTATTCACATTTGATTATTTTGACTTCGATCAACTTCCAAAACATTTAATTCCTTTCTTCATTATAAAAACGTGTTGAAATACAACAAACGTAATCGAATTGTTTACTAAATATGTTTTTATTAGGTTGATGTAAGATAGTTAAGATTATTTATTTCATTTGATAAATTTAAAGAAATTTTTTCAAACTTAGAAACCAATTTTTTATTGAAGCTTAACGACATTTTCGTCAAAAGCATATGCTACATCTAATACAATGTTATAGAACTCAGAACAACTAAATGCAAGCCAATATCAAAGTCAGAATCTTCAATACGAACGCCAAAACAATCCTACTGTATGGAGCTGAAACGTGGAGAACTATTACAACCATCATCAAAAAGGTACAAGTATTTATAAATAGTTGTCTACGCATGATACTCAGTATCCATTGTCCGGATATCGTCAGCAACAGCCTTCTGTCGGAGAGGACAAACCAGCCACCATTCGAAGAGGAAATTAAGAAAAAACGTTGGAAGTGGATGGCATATACATTGCAGAAATCACTAAAATGCATCACGAGGCAAGCCCTAACTTGGAATCTTAAGGAAATATAAAAGAGGAAGGCCGAAGAACATACTACGTTGGGAAATGGAAGCAACTAGAAAGGATTGCCCAGGACAGGGTTGGATAGAGAGTGGTGGTGGGAGGCCTATACTTCTCCACGAGGGGTAACAGGAGTAAGCAAGTAAGTAATACTAGGTATATATGAAGAAAAATAAACAAAACGTACTGGTTAGAATTCATTCCTAACCAAATTTATGTTATCGTTATCGTTGTTTTTGCTAGAATTTCAAACTAATCTTGAGAATGGTTCATATGTGAAAACTTTAAATACTCTACTCATTCAATCTACTTTGAGTGTTATTTAATGGAGCAATGAAAAATTCTGCCTTAAATGAAGTGTATCAACCTTTTTTCCAAGTGCCTATGATTCAGATTACTATATAAATATAACTTAAAAATAATCTGCATAGTTTCCATAAGCCATTTGAGTTCAAGTCATCAATAACTGTGAACAAGTTCAGAGTTTTTATTTAATATTTGTTATTATTTCATATTTTGTTCTAATTTATTAGGTGAATGTTTACCGTACACGATAACATGGTGATCATATCCAGTACATAAATCGAGTTGTTCTTGGTGTCAATATTTGAATAAACTAGTGAAACAAAAGCACTTTTTTCCTTACTTTGAATTAAGATCTACTCAATGGAGAAGGAACTACTGTGGAGAGCAACTGGAGGGGGATCAAAGAGGCAATCACTTGAACATGTCATGAGGTTCTGGGTCACAAGAAGCACCACCACAAGGAATGGATCACTGTTGATACACTGGATAAGATTCAAGAAAGGAGGAACAAGAAAGCAGCAATCAATACCAGTCGAACAAGAGCAGAAAAAGCTAAGGCACAAGCTGAATACACAGAAGTAAACAAACAAGTGAAGAGGAGCATCAGAACCGACAAACGTAAATATGTGGAAGATTTATCAATGACGGCGGAAAAGGCTGCAAGAGAAGGAAACATGAGACAATTGTATGACACGACAAAGAAACTCTCTGGAAATCGCCGCAAACCAGAACGACCAGTCAAAAGCAAGGAAGGCGAGATTATCACCAACATTGAAGAGCAACAAAACAGGTGGGTAGAACAATTCAAAGAACTCTTGAATCGACCAGCACCACTGAACCCACCCAACATCGAAGCAGCACCCACGGACCTCACAATCAATGTTGGCCCACCAACAATTGAAGAGATAAGCATGGCCATCAGACAAATCGAGAGAGATAAAGCAGCAGGACCAGACGACATTCAAGCAGAGACACTAAAAGCAGACGTAGCGGTAACTGCAAGGATACTCCACATTCTCTTCAATAAGATTTGGGATGAGGAACAAGTACCAAAAGACTGGAAAGAAAGACTTCTGATCAAAATACCGAAGAAAGGCGATCTCAGCAAGTGCGATAACTACAGGGGCATCACTCTTCTCTCAATACCGGGAAAAGTCTTCAACAGGGTATTGTTAAACAGGATGAAGGACTGCGTAGACGCCCAACTTCGTGATCAACAGGCAGGATTCCGTAAGGATAGATCGTGTACAGACCAAATCGCAACTCTACGCATCATTGTGGAACAATCAATTGAATGGAATTCATCACTCTACATCAACTTCATTGACTACGAAAAGGCATTTGACAGCGTGGACAGAACAACACTGTGGAAACTTCTTCGACACTACGGAGTGTCTCAGAAGATAGTCAATATCATACAGAGTTCATATGATGGATTACACTGCAAAAGCGTGCATGGAGGACAGTTGACAAAGTTGTTCAAAGTGAAGACCGGTATTAGGCAAGGTTGCTTACTCTCACCCTTTCTCTTTCTCCTGGTGATCGACTGGATCATGAAGACGTCAACATCTGAAGGGAAACACGAGATATAATGGACATCTAGGATGCAGTTGGACGATCTAGACTTCGCAGATGATCTGGCCCTTCTATCCCAAACGCAACAACAAATGCAGGAGAAGACGAACAGTGTGGCAGCAGTCTCAGCAGCAATAGGTCTCAACATACAGGAAGGGAAAAGCAAGATTCTCCGATACAACACAGCATGCAACAATCCAATCACAATTGACGGAGAAGATTTGGAAGATGTAAAAACCTTTACATATCTGGGCAACATCATTGATGAACACGGTGGATCTAATGCAGATGTGAAGGCGCGGATGGGAAAAGCAAGAGCAGCATATTTACAATTGAGGAACAACTGGAAGTCAAAACAACTTTCAACCAACATCAAAGTCAGAATTTTCAATACAAATGTCAACACAGTTCTACTGTATGGGGTGGTAACCTGGAGAACAACGAAAGCCATCATCCAGAAAATACAGGTGTTTATTAACAGTTGTCTATGCAAAATACATGGGATCCGTTGGCCGGACACTATTAGCAACAACGTACTGTGGGAGAAAACAAACCAGATCCCAGTAGAGGAAGAAATCAGGAAGAAGCGCTGGAAGTGGATAGGACACACATTGAGGAAAGCACCCAACTGCGTCACAAGACAAGCCCTCGCATGGAATCCTCAATGCCAAAGGAAAAGAGGAAGACCCAAGAACACACTACGCCGAGAAATGGAAATAGACATGAGAAAAATGAACAAGAATTTGATGGAACTAGAAAAGAAGGCCCAGGACAGAGTGGGTTGGAAAATGCTGGTCGGCGGCCTATGCTCCATTGGGAGTAACAGGCGTAAGTAAGTAAGTAAGTAAGTAAGTAAGTAACAAAGACGTATTTCTAATAGATCTCACATGAATATTGCAGCCAAAGAACTTGAATGTTAACTGTATCTACCAATAAAATAAAAGCCAGAATAAGTACGCTCCATTGATAGACATACGGTGCATTCAGTGATTTTTACAGTCTTCACAAAAAGTACTTTGCAGTGAATATCTATAATTTACTTTAAATTACTTCAATTAGCGCACAAACAACCAGCGTACTTTATGATTGATTCAGCCGGTAATTAATCAAATCTTGTGCTGTCCTATAGTATCAACGGGATGTCAAACTTCTATTTAACGCAATTGAAATCATTATCTTTGATTTGGAAATTATATAAGTTGTTTAAATATTATATTCCAGACAATAGTGATAACATTTTAATGTCACATACAGTTTAATTAAATTAATGTTTGCTAGTATAATAATAAAAGTAGATGCATATAGCCTTTTTACAATAATTCAGAAATTCTCAAGGCTTATGATTGACATTTTCTTTTCAACAAGAGGATTTTAGGTAGAAAACTCACCCATATGATTTTTGAACAGTCATCATGTGGAACAATCTAGGAAGCTAAAAAGTCTAAGAAACACTTCACATAACCGCCATGAATTTTTTGTGCAACCTGGATTAATTTTGATGTGGTTATTTATTTATTCTCTGAATATGTGGCTTACACTAAGTCACGAGATGTCAGAAAATCTAATTTTTCTACTCATTAGGATATTACAAATATATTATTTATTTATTTGTAACTTGCTAGAATGTTTATCAAACGGCTCTAGATATGTGGGAATCCTGATCTGTTTTTAATGATACCATTAACGTGATTTGCTAAACAGTTTACAATAGACAAACCAAATGACAACGAATTCTCAATGATTCACGTTGTCAAACACAATTGCTGACATACAGAATAAATATTTAGTGTCATTTTGTATTGACAATCTTTTTCATTCCTGGAATGCACAAAAAACTTTTTCCTGACAATTTTGGAATCGTAAAGAACTAACTGGGAAGTGATTTTCAGCGTTGCCTCGTTCTATACCTAATTATATTGGAATTTCTTTGTGATTTTGCTGTAAATTTTGCTGTCCTGATTCTGATTAACTCAATAACAACAACACGGTTTTACCTATCAGTTATTAAAGTTGCCAAGTGTCAAATTATGTTACGTAAGATGGTTCCGAAACAAGATTAGTATTTTAAAAGTGCAAACCAATAATCGGAAATCAATTATGCTTTTACAGATTCATAAACTTCTTCAGCTTTTCTTACATAAGCTCATTGCATAGTATTAATGCGTTTACTTTTAATCCAGATTTTCTATATATAAAGTGGTATTACCAACTGGTTGTGATTAATACGTTATTCTGAATTACATTATTCTTATCAGAAATTTCTACACTATGGTCTAAAAATCCAATTTCAGTCAATTTGTTATACACCACAATCGTTGTCCAACCTTATAAACCAGTAAATTTTGGAATAATTTGAGGAACGAAAGCAAGCTTTCGGAAAATACAAAAAGAATTCAGACAAAAGAAGCGATATTTTGGAGGAATACGTGAGACGTTTGGGGAAACGTTGATGGACTTTGGGAATGATATAAATCTTACCCAATGGTGAGAAAAGGAGATAAAACATTGCGCTTTTGCCTGCTTTACCAAACATTACACAATACATTCTCCACACAGTTAGTCTATATACCCCCAAAGTTGATTACTTGATAAACTTTGAATAACATGTCCTATTTTTCTAACCTAAATAAATCTATCACAAATGTTTTTTCTATTCTATCGACAGTTTTTCAAGGAGCAGATACAAACTTTCAAATTGTGGAACGTCGATGTTTTATTAAAACATAACACCATTCTTTAAAATATCAACAATAATTTGATCACATCACCTTAAGTTGATGTTAACTTACGATTGGGGGTGTAGAAACTGGATTATAATTGTGGTCATTGTCAAGTTTCAGGGAGAAAGATGTGTTACAATTAACAGGTTGTTCCTTTGTAAAACAAAAGAAAATAGTTTTTATATTTGGTTAAAATGTACGAAAAATGAATAATGTTATCGTACGAAACACTTCTTAACTATTTGTCATTCGTCGTTAGTTTATGATAAGCGTAGACCAAGGGTTGCTCTTTAGAAAGAATTTTTCAAATTTAAGGGAATAATATTGTTGAGAATTGTTTAATCTAATTTCCATTGATTAGTTTGTCATCGGTTGTGACTGTTTTTTAAAGTGTCTTTTACAAATCAGATGTGAAATTACAGTGAGTAGAACAGTAGTTTATCGATTGAAATGAGTCGTTTTTAACCATTATGATCCCGATTTTGATTCTGCTCCACCTAATTCGGTTCAGGGAGCTGTTTAGTATTACTAGACTTCCCACATAAAGTTTGACTGGAAGTCATGTACATAAATCTAAACATGCTACTGACTTATATTGAAAATCAATAAAGTCAGACTAGGTTTTTCAATAATTAACTCAAATACAATCTATTCTACGTGCATTAAACTTATTCAGTGAGTTATATTTCTACTGAACTGAATGGTAAGTCAATTAATTCGGCTATAGGTTTTCATTAAGTCAAAAGACTGTAGATTGTCGAAAGCTCTTTAATACAATTATACAGATTGATTAACAAATTTAATAACAACAGACGACTAAAATAATCATGTTTACTACATCACTAAAAATTAATGAGAATAATCTAAACCTGTAAATGTTTATAACGATCCCAAATAACTATTTGGAAAGCTTTGGCATGTTGTGCAAGAAAATATCAGCTTTCAATCTAGGAGGAAATGGATATTTTGTGAGTATGCCTTGTAGTAGAATGTTTAAAAGTTGTTAAAGCGGAGATGTGAACCTCCAATCGATTCTGTATAAAAATATATTCGAAAAAAATGTTTTACTTAGTCATTACGCTCACAAATAAAAGAAATTTCTGACGATTGATGATAGCGTGAGTACGTTTGGGTTGTAAATATTTCTGAACGTACATTTCAATCATTCTTTCAAATCTATAAAGCATTGAAAAATAAACTTACCTTCACAGGATCGGATTTAGTATCTTTATTTATCATGACTATTTGGTCAGATAAGTTGTCTTCTTTCAATTTAATTGGTTGATTTAATTCATTTAGAAAACTCGGTAAATCACTATGGATTTTCGATAAAAATTCTTTTAAATCAACTGATTTCCATTCTTCATAAATTGAATCAAACTCTTCATTAACTAATTGTAATTGTGTCATACGCCGACGTGATAATTCTAAACGCTTTGACCAATGATCAAATTTGGAATCGGTTGACAACTGAATAGGTACAGTGAATGACTTTCCAGACTTCTTAGTATCAATCAAACTTTCATGACTTAGGTCACTCGAAATAGAAAGATTGCATTCTTCAACAGTACCATCGAAAAATAGAAAATATTGCAAAACAATAGATTATGCAGTCAGAAAGTGATTTTATCTTCCAATTTATTCGATTTTACTTCAAAGCACATCAAGGCAATCAGAAAATACTTCAGTCAAATCATCTCATTACAATGATGTACGCTAAGCTAGGATTGCTAAAGCCACATATTATACAAAGGGATTATATTTATTGATATATTTGCCGCCATTTATTTTCAAGTTTAAATGTACCTGTTATATTCGAGCGAAGATTAAATCACGAGTAACTTCTGAGACATATTAATTGACTAATATTATCTATACATTCTTATGGTATAATTATTCAATAATTAGATTATGTATATTTACATTCCTCTTATTATAAGCTTCATTTTGACATATGATTTATTACTGTACGATTTACTGTCCCTAAATTATCCTCAGTTTATTACCTACTGCCTCCCACGTTCACAGTCACTTTTTGGCTTTATTGTGTACAAATGTTATTTCCTGTTTTATAGTGCGTTGCGATCTGTTTGGTTGATATATAAGCCCAGTATGTCTGAAATAAATTATTCGATTGGCATATTGGAATCTGGTATTGTTGTTCTGGAATCAAGTGGACGGGCTAGGCGGACATAGGACCAATAAGGACGCTAGACTGCCCACACCGGTCGAACGTCATTGGTCTGGCACAGTGCTAAGATTGTATAAGTCATTGTATAAAGTCATAACACTTAATGATAAATTGTCTACATCGAATCTGTAGCATTAAGTAAATCCCCAAAATAAAATGTTCTATAAGTCTTGGACAGTGATGTTGATCTCATTAGTTTAACAAGAAAGATCCTAGCTGAAGGCCTGTGGTCACTCATCCGCACCAGATCAACATCGGGTACGTCGTGTTACGTGCCCCTCAAAACAACTAGCTAGCTTGGATCAAACACTTCTTAACATATTGAATACCTTCCAAATATATCTTCGAACCCGTTCATTCCTGAATTCTGGTTCGACTAGCTTGAGATCTTTGGATTATAAAATCGTTAGGGACAAAAGCGCTGTCAAACCCTGAGTATCCTTGATATATTTAGATCTAATATTAACAATCACATTTTATAAATTAATTTGGTATTATATTATTGAAGGTAGTCGACAAAAATCTCTGAAATAGTTTCCACTCTACTTAAGATTTTGTACATGTGAGACTTTTATGGAGTTATTAAGTATCGTGACAACAACTTTCTCCCATTTCATATTGAGAGAATAATAATAACTTTATCAAATTTGCTGGAGTATCATTTTAATATATTCTCTAAAACTACTCTTCACTGCAATAATATAATCTTTAACTATCCATTATGAAATTCTGAATGAAAATGAGTATCCAACAGTAACTAGAATCCAGTGAATTGATCATATACTAAATCCATTTATTTGTCATATATTTTGTGATCATTTCAATGGGTTGCATTTATATCATCTTACCATAATTTCCTATTCGTTTTAAATGTTTCGAGGGTTTCATAATTTTTTGTAATTAATTTAAGTTGTTTTATCACAAGTGCAGTTATATGCAACTAACTGATCTTTTTTTCCTAGCATGTACTTGCAAATATTTATGCACGAAAACATGAACTAAAGTGGATTTAGATGATGGATAACAGTGGAATGTAGGACGCGCTTCTCCCCAAAGTTGGGACTCATAAGCTGGACGTACCTGCATCCTATAGTTCATTCGACTCCTGTACTTTACGCTCCATAAGCCAAACTTTGACTCACTTAGCTACTGAGTTCAGATAGCCACTGCCTTGTGCAGTGGGGTGAATTTTAATGCATTTGCATTGATTGTTTGAATCTCTCCACTGATGTTCAAAATTATAATGGCAATACCGAGGTAAGCCGCACAGGATACACATATGCCAAAAGAGACTGATCAATTGTAGTCCCAAACAATGGGAAAATCCTAACAACCATTACAAAGGACTAAACCAGTTTGACTTAATCACATGGAACGTCGAAAAGGGTTTGAAAACATAACAATCTTTGAAACATTATCAAGCAGCCATATATATAGTTTCTTCAGGGATTCTAGATTTTAACTAATTCTATGTGTAATCTTTTTTCCAGTATCAATTGTTTTTATAGGACAGAAAACAGCACAAAAGCTAAACCCAGTTTATATAATATTTCGCCTTCATATCATTCCATAACTTTCGTTCTCCGACTTCATCTATCTTTTTGTAATTACATATCTAAAATTGAGTTTAACACTACAGTTGATTTCTTTTTTGACGATTATCACTCGACATGCTTGAATCAATATACATTCATGTCGGGTCATACGTTGGCTATGAGTAACCGAATGATATTATTGTGCTCAAACATAAATTCATCTACGTTTACCTGAACAATTCATATCACTAAATAAAGATTTGTCAACAATTACTTGTTCAAATAACTTTACTCGTTTATTTTACTACTTAAAAAGACAGAGGATTATTCATCAAATTAATTTTATTTTAATAGCATCCCTGGGCATGTATAAACAGTTGAGTACTATGCATTTATTGAATGCAGCTCGAAAAAAATAGTTTCTTGAGGCATAATTCTCAAGATACTATGACATTTATTGATTGCAAAAAATGCATATCATTATCGAATGTTAATTAGATGAACACCGATAAACAGCGAATTCGCTATTGACAACAGTCATTATACCAACCCATGAAATTTATTTACTACTGTGTGTGTGTGATCTTTATATATCTGAGGATCACTGTTTACTTGTTCCAGTTAATTTGACTTCATTTTATTATTGATTTATGCTTTGCAATCTATTTCTGATAGTAAAAGTGTTGATTTTCTATATAAATTTTGTGTCAGTTATGTTAGGAAGTGATAAGTGAAAAAATATACAGTTAGAATAATTATTCTTTAAGTGAAGAGTATTTGTCAGAAGATTAATTATTGCAGAACACAATATAACTTCAGTAATCACCAGATAATAAAAAAGGGTTCAGTTGACATTTCGGATTATTGACAAAATTCTAAGTAGCATATTCCTATATCGTATCACTACCTATGCTTGAAACTGTTCTGAAAAACAACTTTCAGTATAGTTAACATCACAGATATCAACCAAAAGATTATTTAAAACCAGAGTGAACTGGAAACAAGTTTTATTCTAGTTTGGGGCTTGCTAATGTAGCACAATTACTTTTTATAAAGGAGTTGGACCTATGATATTCACAGTGAAAACAGCTGTTCAGAGCTAACTAGTTATCAGCTGTCTTTTGGGACTACTGTCAATCAACATAGAAAACTATCTTGAATTCAACATGTCTCCATAATTCAGCTAAATAAATATTTCTGAGGTTCCGACAGAATATCTAAGCATCTAGAATGTGATCAGTGTCTTACTATAACAGATCCCAATAGATTTAAACACGAGTCATTAAAAACTATGAACTTAGAAAACATCATGACAACTGAAAAAATTAAAATACCGCTGAAGATGAGTAAAAATTAAGCATTAAAATAAAACATAATTTTAGATTACCTTCATAAATTGAACGACGTTCAGCTTCAGTTAGTATTTGCGGATTGTTTAGATTCTGATTTACTGTAGACCAATGACCCACAGAGGAAACTTCAGTAGTTTGTGCATGATTCTGTTTATTTCCACCTTCATATGAACTAAGACGTTCCATTAGTTCGCATATTTCATTTTTCTAATTTGTTTTTAGAAAAAAAATGCTTTTGAGAAATTAGTTGTTTACATTTTATAACTGACGGTAATTTATAAACTAATGATAACTGTAAAACGAAAATAAAGGAATAATCTCCAGAGAATTGCATAATTTATTTGCCATTTTCACATGTTGTTCATTTGAAGTTTTCGATAATTCCCATTTGTATTTACTTAAAAATAGGGGAATCAAATTCTAATCACAACTTATTATATATTTCAATAAAGATATAGTTTATTTAAAAGCTTACAATCCTATATACACATATACGTGCAACTGTATAGTTATGGAAATGAACTTGTTCCGTACGATTTTTATGTTGAATTAATCAGTTGATGAATAATAATAAAGCACATGTAGGATTATTGACTATGGTCGATGAGGTAATCCTCATCTACATTTGAAGAATTTCGGTAGCATAGCATAAAAATAATTCCAATAGAGCGGAATTATTCTATTTTGTCTTCTTTTTGAAATTTTGAGCTTTTTTTAAATATTGTTTTACATATTGAATTGTTTAATTCTATTTGTTTATTTTGAAATAAATTCAATATTTCGAGTTCTACCACCGTGAGTGATATTCATTATTATTACAGTTCTTTTTTAATTAGAGTATTAGAGTAGCCTGCTGAAATTTCTGGGTCGCTGTTTTCCCAAATATGGATCTATCGTCAGGAACGTTTACTTGTTTTGAATTTGGTTTAACCAAATAATTATATTTGCTAAGCCTGTGTACTTTATGCCCCTGTATAAAAAAAACCTTACAAACTATCATACATCTGATTTTTAAGAGATTTAACAGTCACCACAATGACAGTTTGTTCTCCTTCATTTTTTGGAGAAACAAGATACAGTCACTGTTGAATTTATAGATTCAATACATTTAGTGATATCATTGACGAAACGTTGATTGTAAAACTTTACGAATAAATATGAACTACGGCTGATTGTTGCTTAAAAGCTATTCGTGTAGGTTTTTTAATATTCACAAGTTGAATGCATACTAAACGAGAATTTTGTTTCATTTCTACATAATTCTTGCTGTGAACACTTAACCGAAATCAAATATATGACGTAAAATAAAGCTATGACGATATGAAATATTACAACACATTTAGCTCGATTAACATTTATGCTGTTTGCCACGTTGTTTCTGATTGTCCACCTGAACAACTTTACCATCCTCCAACTGAAACTAAATGAAACTGAAAACAGAATTCATATGAATATCCGTTGTGTGTTAGTCCAGACCAGGTCTGTACAATAAATGTTATACAAAACAATTCGACCTTCAACTATAATCCTGTCCTACAGCGGACAATATAAAACATAATTTTCGTGGTAATATGTAATCTATTAAATGTCGTTAGTGAGATAAACATGATCCTAATGATTTATTCAATTGATCAATACATGAATCAGAAGGGGTTTTGTGGATATTATAGTAATTTTAATAGTTGAGATCATGAGTCAATTGAAGCTAGATCACCATGGAAAACTTCGAAGCACTGGATGGCCGTTTCTTCCTATTGTGGGACTCCTCAGCAGTGCGCATCCACGACCTCGACCCCCGAGATTCGAACCCAGGACCTATCAGTTTCGCGCGCGAGCGCTTAACCACTAAAACACTGAGCCTGCATCCAACGGTATTAATGTCTAACTTCAACCAATCCATGAAATTGAGCGACACATCCATCACTGTTATCAGTGAGTTACTATCTCACAACCGACCTGATTAAACTCCACTAGTCACTGCTTCTCACTAGAACTCCAGGAAATACCTCTTGGAACCAGTCAATAGTGAGTATATGTTGATTGATATCAGAAAGGGTTTTGTGGATATTATAGTAATTTTAATAGTTGAGATCATAAGTCGATTGAATCCCTAATAATACACGATAACGGGAATTACATTAGTATATGTGTGAATTCTTCTTTGATATTCATATGATATTTCATTTTAAAATTGGAACAAACTTCAAATTAAGCAAAGACAATAATGATATTACGAGTTTCGTAACAGCTAACCTTTTCAAAATTTGTAATATTTAAATAAAATAATTATCCAATTAAATAATAACTTTTCATAACCGAAACTTTAACATGTTAAATATGTAATTAAATAATGAAATGAAATAAACAAACTTGTTCATTTAATTTCCTTTGTAATGTAAATTTTTCTTGAATGATTACAGTATGATCATTATTCAACGTGTTCATTAGTTTTTCAGTCTCTTGTTTAACAACTTTGAGTACACTTAATTCTGTTGTTGCCGACGCAGCAACTATGTAGGTAAAGTGTGAAAAAAAGTTTAATTGAGTTTTATTAATTCGTTTGAAAAATTTGAGTAGTTTCTAGAGTTAAATATATTATTAATTATTGTCAAAATAAATTTTCGCAATACAAAAATAAAGTAGTTTGTTTCGCTTATTAAGTATAGGCCAGATATTCTGCCGTCTCACAGTTTTAGTCAAAAAGCTTATGATAAAGCTTACTGACCTTAAACAAAGTAGACAAAATGATGTTCTAAAAAGAGACCCAGGAACAAGAATTAAATTTAATCAAAAAGGAACCGGAGTCACAACTGATTTTAATAGTCAGGAAATTTTAGAATCTTACATTATAGTATGGAGCTCCAAGATGTATTAATTGGCAAAAAGAGATGGGCATACTAAAAGTGAAACTTTCAAAAGTACCATAATATGACGTTCACAATATAGAAGTTAGATGATAAAAAATACATACTTGCCATCATTATTCATTTTATGCATTATTACTAATGATCTCGAACCACTTACTCCAATTGCTTCAAGCAACTCAACAGACAATCCTACATATTCCTAAACCAAAATAGCTAAATGCTTTAATAAAATGTCATATTTTCTTGTAATCACACCTTAGCTTATCAGAATCTCGTACTCTGATCTATTTAGCATATGCAATACAAGGTCCTGTAAGCCTACCTACTAGAGGTTCGCGATCTCACAGATTGTTTGTCCAGAACTCTAAACAAAACCTTGAAATCGTTTGTTTAGTACCGCTAAAATAAGCAAACTATGCCTTGATAATACTTGCAGACGAAAAACGCTAATCATTGAAGGTAGTTAGCAGAGCACGTAAGACTGATAAACAGTTTGCTGAACTTTTAATTAATCATTCAAACAGTTGTTGAACCCCAATAATAGAGTAGCTCTGTATGTTTTAAATTTAATTTGTGTATGCGCAGAGGTACTTTGTCAACTATCAACGCAACACAGATGATCCCACGCCCTAGACAAAATGTTGATGTACAAGAGTTTCAAGCGATTTCGCCAGTTTGACACGTGCAAAATATTTGCCAATCATTTTTGAACAAAGCATTCAAAGTCCTAGGAATATTTAAAAGAAACATGATTTTCTCCATATTGTAGATAAACTTTGTTGATCGGTATTAACAAAGAAAAATCTAAGCCAGACCACCACTGAAAACCTGAAAGCACTGGACAGCAGTTCCGTCCTCAGCAGTGCGTGTTCACGATACCACACGAAGGACTCCAACCCAGGATCTTCGACCTCGCTCGCGAACGATTAACTTTTACACCACTTCGATCGACTTGTGAATTCAAATGTTGAAAATATTGCAATCTCTATAACATCCCTTGCTTGTAAAGAAAAATCTCTCCATATAAATTATTGATAATTGCCCTCAAATATTTTTTACATAGATACTCTTTACAATGGGTAGAAAAACATACTTTTTACTTTCACAATTAGCACATCACTAAGTGTAAGCACGATGTCGACCAACAGACTTATTATGAAAAAGTAATCATATTATAAGGATTTTTGACCTACTTTGTTTTTGTTCTTCTAGTTCAGTTAAAGAGTTTTTCAATTGTCTAAAGCAATAAAATAAAATGAGTCAAAATGTTTTCTATTTTATTCATATTGATTATGTGCCCATCAGACGCCTTAAAGTAACGAGTATTTTTTGAATAGTCTGCAGCATGACATATAGTGTAATACAATAGGTGGGGATGAAATATGATAATTTAATAGAAAAAGTAACTTCATCGTTTGCCAGTGTAACCGAAAAAACAAACATATGATCCATACACGTTAATTGTTCAATTCCAGGAAATGTTGTTTAGATAATTGGATTACTTCACTATATGTGAGTTATCTTGAAAAGTGCCAAAATAACTAATACTATTCACATTCCACAGTTATTTCTCAAAGTGTATGATTGAATATAATATATTATTGCAGAGCAAAATACATAATCTTTGACAGGCAAGTGTACATATGGCACAGGCCTTATAGCAAAAGCATAAGTGAATAAAGCTAACTGGCTGTTAGCTTACCATCGAATCAATAAACTACTAATTCAATTGTAATGAAAATAAAATCTATAAACTGAGTTAAGGTATGTTTGCCGGGTTATAATCTCCTCATAATCAGTACCGAGTTTCGGATGAAAGTTTAGTAATTTCGGTAGTATTTTTCTACTTTTGTTCATTCTACGTGTCACAATTTTAGTTCAAGTTGAAATATAAACAATTAGTCTTTAAGATAAATCTCAATAATGCAATGAGAAGACAAATTTTATCGGAATTATGCGATATATTTGCGCAATACATTCCTTCATTCTTGAAATACAGGTCATTTTACCCTGATACTTTAAAATTTTAAAGCTGTTCATGGAAATTTAGATTTCTCTCCATGAATTTCACATGCTGACCAACTAAGTCAAGCACAAGTTCACACTAAATGACTCCGTAAAACACATATTCATTTTAATATTCAAATAGTCTTGAGTTGAGTGGCTAAAGGTATTATTCAATGTTATTTCTTTCATGGTTTGTACTTACTTTTTAGTAGCTGGGGCAAGGAGTTATATGTGTTAGTAAATGGTTAACAAAAAATGCTGAAATAAGGCAGATAATTGGGTATTGAATGGTACAAGCGGTTATACAGCAGTAATATTTAGTTAACTACTATATTATGTATACAATTTCAATATGATCTAAATAAAAGTGAAACCATCCAAATTCGAGGGAGCAATAACAGATGGATTAATTTTTAAATCAACATGATAGTATCATAAAAATAGATTGATTTTAGAATGTTGCTTTTCTTTCTCAATTTATTCAAACAATTCAGTATTATCTTTCAATATAAAATACAGTTTTATAAGCATAGAAGATAACATAAAACATCGTTATAAATTACTTTTGTAAATTCGAGATTTCAGCTTTGAACACTTCATTCTGTGTTTTAATAGTATCATAACCTACAATCTAAAATAGAACATTTCAGAACTAATAATGATAATGTTTTTGATTCTATCATGAAATTTAATAAGTTTTATACTTAATAAAATTGAAACGTTCCAAAAGATAGAAAAAAAGCAAGAGTAACAGATTTGAGATTTATTGTTAGACATCAAACACTTTTAATACTACAGACACGAAATCCAAACTGTGCACGTTAACTGGAAGTACAGAATTAGTAAAGTACAGTACTTTCATCACTGTTATTTCTGATAAAAAGTTTATTGATTGGAGAGTGTCATAACAATGTCTTTAACTGAAAATCTTCAGAAATTAATCGACGTCATACAATCAAGTTTTAACAGTTTTAAAGATACTTGATTTTTTCAGTCAGCCATACAATAATCGAATTTCATATTCGTATAGAATTATGTACAATTATAATTTCATTTGTCTCAAGATTAGTTGACAGACTGATCCGATGTTAATGTGACCTTTTTTGAAAACTACGATGGGTAACAAGTTCTAATCACTCTTTACTATGTTTTCTCATACATCTAGGAGATTTACAAATTGAAACTAACATAAAACTTATGAAATTCAATTACACATGATGTATCTTTTGAATTACAGGACTAAATTGGTCCATTAAATTAACTTGCTCGCTATTTTTCAGTTTTAATTCAACTGACAAATTATTATATCAGTGACAGATATCTATTTCTTACCAACTTCAAGGTAAATATCAATTAAATAGGAGAGAGAGTGAAGGGACAATGCTTACCTCCATTTCTGTGAATTTGTTTTGTTGTTTTAACAATTCCTGTTTAAGTTGTTCAACTGTTTTCAATTTATCTTCAAGCATTTTCTGATTTTCTATTAACAAAACAGTTTGAATAAAATATTTTTTTTTCTTGTTTATTATTTTTATTTACCTGAGAGTTGAATAGACTGTAATTCTAATTCTTTACGTTGTTTCATTAGTTTAATTTCATCTTCCATACGAATTCTGTCAAAAAATATGGTTCAAAATTCATTGGTTATGTTAATAAAAACAAGTTTGACCTTGGAACCGATTATGAAATTATCTGTTGTTATACATGGTTAATATATTATCTTCAGATTATCTACAATTAAACACACGTATATGTTCTGAAACAAGTGAGAAATATTGAAATTGGATAGTCAGATTTCTGATTTATGAAACTACCTCGATATAATTACAGACCTATAAGAAGTGAACGAAATGAATATTATCATTTAAGGCCATTAATCAGTAAGATTAGAGTTTTAACTACCACGAAGGCTGATTCACATTGATTATTACATGATCAATAGACAATCTTATTGCATATTTTATTCTTATGTTGAAAATATCAGAATAAATAGCTCAAATTCTTTCCCAGTATATTTTAATGCCGGTTACAAATGTATATAAAGGGACTTTTGCCGTTATAAAATATGTAATTATTAAATGAGTTTATTGTGAAGATCATTTAAATGTTGAGATTACTATTAAGAGATGATTGTCAGCATAAACTAACAACAGATTTTAAGTCATTTTAAATTAGAGATCATGACTCAGCTATATTGTCTTAGTTTCGAACTTTTCAATAATGTCTAACCAAAGGTCAATAAGCATAGAGTTAATCAGGTCAGCAATGAAATATTAACTTACTGATAAATGGATGTCGACAGCATAGTATCAAGGTCGACAATCTAAACCAGTAGATTTCCAACATAATAGCTCAAAGATATTTGAATCGTGATGAGACTTGAAACTGCTTAGCTTAATCCTGTTTAAAGTCATGTATTTACACCATCACTTAGCGCTAATATGGTATGGTAACTTCGGCTATTCTACATTTGTGCTAAGCACTACACTGATTACAACTGACTGACTCATAAAATATAGTACAAGAAATTGATAGCTCTTCCTTGTACAACAGATTACTATCCAAAAGTTGAAGTTTCAGGTATTTTTGTCTGTTCAAATAAACTTCAATATGTTTTACATTGTGACTTGATACCAATTGGAAAACTACTGAAACTCGTTGACTAACAAAGAGATAATTAACTCTGGTAGTATATTCTCTTGAACACTCTAGGAATCGAATAAATACATTATTATCTAGAAATGCGAGAGTATTACCCCAAACCATAAGACGACTAATGTTAATTTGCACTACAGCCGAACCAATAATGCTCATCTTATTGTGAAGCTCGTAGTTTAAGTGGTCGATCGTGAAAACTAACACAACTGCGTGTAGCAAATGAGCCTCACTTTTAGAGTGAGTCGTACGGACTGTTTTCTAGTGTTCCTGTTCTTATCACATTTATTAGGAGCGAAAATCATCAATAGCCAGGGTGAAATCTTATTGTATTATAGGTGAAACTATACCACATTGACACCTTTGCGCGACCAATCGGACTTAAGATACCGAATGTTAAATATTAACGCAGGCTTAAAACGCCATCGGAGATAGCTTTTTGTTGGAAATCGTGATTTTGACTAGATTTCGTATTCTGAATGGGGTGATCATTTTCTTGTAAAATGAAATATTTGCGTTGGGATTTTTAAGGTTAGGAGTTAGGTTACAGGAACGTTAGTGTTAGGAGTTAAGGTTTAGGAGTGTTAATGTACCATAATTTTCACCTTGAATGACCTATATTTAGCCCTAATAAGTTTATTAATGGTGTCGAAATTCTAGATCCACTCTAGGTCATTTTTTGTAATACCGTACGCCTCCACAAAAGCTGCGTTCTTATTTGTTGATTTATGACCACCTAATCTCTCAGTCACTTTTAAAACGTCTTAAGGTCACCAGCGTAGTTTAACCATATTAGGATTGATCAATTATACCTGCAAATTGAAATATCACTTTTTTCACAACTGGGATAACGAGAGTTTTGATAACAATTCGCATTAGGAGGAAGGTGAGTAGGATTTAGTTGACGAGAGGACAAAGGACAATGTTTTCCAGAAGTAAAAATACATTTGTTTAATGCCTTATTCATAGTCAGAAATAAGATAAGGTGAATGGGTCAAACTGAGAGATTCGAGGTTATTCAAATAAAAGAGACGTGTTAGAAAATGCAGGAGTAAAACATCATTGAGGCAAAAAATGATTTATGAAAAACGTAAAATTGAAAGTTTAAAAGAATGAAATAAGTTTATTCATGAATAGATATAATTAAGATTAAGACATGAATATTTTGTATGAGACAAAAATTTGAACATAGGTTTTATGAATAGTGGTCATTATCAGCAAGACTCACTGGCTAATTTCAAAAGTTTCGGACACTAAAATCAATCTTTGTAACTCTCAGACGTAATGCTTGCAAGTTATCATTAATGATATGGCTTATAAATTTCCAATATTTATGGTATATAGCTTAGGCTTTAACTCAATTTACATTTAATAGCGACGTGAAAACAGATAACCATTTTAAGCATGCTTTAGAAAACTATAAATTTTTTTTACAAAATTTACTTGAAACCAAACCTTCGAATGGTTTCTGTTTATCTTATTAAATTCAAAGTAAATGCTACTAGGAACATGTCCACTTCATACTAGGTTGTATTCACAGAGAACTAATTCGAAATTGTAATAATTATAGCAAATTCATAATAAGGATGCGTTTTCCTTAAAAAGAAACTATTTTAAAGTTGATTGTTTAATTCTATGAAACCATCAAAGTTTAATAAAATATTGTAGTTTCCTATGGAATGAATGAGAAACTAAGTTAACTATGACAATATGTCATTATTTGATCTTAAATCAATTTATCATCGAACACTCTATATTATGAGAAGCTAACGACATGGAGTAAAAGATTGTCGCGTCTAGTTCTAAATTTCCTACAGGTGGTAATTACTTCTTGTAAATAATATTCATAATACTGAACATTCAATCAACGAGGATTGTTCCTTAAATACCAAGTAAATTTTAAGCGGCTGGTAAATTAGTAGTAATATTGCTTAGAATTAATATCTATTACATAGAATCCTCATGAAACTGATGTCCCTAGTACATAAAGTTATGATTGTTGACTTTTTCACAACTTTTCAATCACATTACAAATCTTTTATACTGGAGACTCATATTGAAAATAAAAGACAGAAAGTATAAAAAGTAGCTTTTCTTCCAAGATCAGCCTCAGTATCGCAAACAAAGAGATTAACATGTTTATGTGAGACCTTGATATTCCAGAAGATTCAATGACAAAATCTATGGTTATCCAATTTGGGCATAACAAATAATCCATTGTTTTTTCTAGAACTCTCTTAAAAGCTCCTACCAAACGTTGATTAGACGAAATTTTTCCAACTTTCTCCTAGTTCATCAAAATGTTTCCAAGATATTTTCAAACTCACTTAAAAGAAACTAACAGAAAATAATAATAATAAATGAGTGATGTATCGTGTTGTTTATCGTTATTAACCTAATCATTTTAGTTGGTCCAATCAAAAAAGTTTTTTTTATTCACAACCGTTCATTGGAATGTACAATTCAACTTACTGGTTTACATGTTCATGAATTTCACTTTCTAATGTTTTTTCTCTTATTTCTAAAAGATTTTCACGCTTTTTAAGTTCTAATTCATTTTTCTCATAATCTTTATGTAACTGTAATTTATCACTAATAATTAGAAATAAATAAATAAAATTCAATTATCAAATTAATGTACAATTACTATTTTGTTTTATTGAATTTATGAATAGAATGTATTTCTCAATGGTCAAATACAACTAATATCAAGATTCAGATTTACGACTTACTAATTACAAAACAAAGAAAACGAATGACAGCTTATGTATATGCTAAGAGAAGTATTTTATAACAAACGCTTTCTGAAAGTGAAGGACATATGTTATTAGTCGACATAACGATGTGTAATCAAAAGCATATTGTGCAAGTTTTTAGTCACTTAAAAATCTAATCATGCATATTTCAATATTTGGATTTCAGAAATAGGAGTATGTCACTTTTCTTTTCAATTCTTGAAAAATATGAAAGAGCAAAACGTTAATTAATTTAATTTCAGTTCGAACTCTCAAAGAAAATTATTCAATGTAATATGCAGTATAGTTACAAACTCCCTGAATATCCAATAATCGTCAAATCGTATCAGAACTTTGTTGTGTAATCAGAAATGAAATGTTTGGTATACTGTAAATAAATTATGTTAAACTGATAGGAATATGTTGCAAAAACTTAATTTATAGTAATCGTGAATTTATGTATTATTTAATGTCTAGTAACATCAACCAAGATAGAAAAGCAATCATTTCATTTGTCTAACTCGTTTACATTGCCACTAAACATCATAAAATTGTGAGTCCCAAGAAAATACTTTGATATGTTTATTGAAAAGCAGCTTTCTTAAATCACGATATCTTTAGAGAATTTAGAAATACAGCTCTACTTATGATTTTCTATTTTTTTAGAAAAAATTTAGTCACATAGCTGGACATTAGTTATGAGGTTTGGTGTTTACCAGTTGCTAATCCTACAGATAAATGCTAAACAAGAGTTCGTGGAATACATTAATATCTTCTGTCTTGTCGTTACTCAAAAAGATTTATTAGTACACATTTTTGAATTCTTTTACTTTATACAAAATAACTATACTTCTTTCTCTTTTTGAGTTTCTTTTCAAATAACTTCAATCATTGTAAATTTTCTAAAAAATACCTAAAAATATAGAAGGACTATTGATTATAGTCAACAATTACAGCTGAAAAAATTCATTTACAAAGTTACCGTTGCCATGTAAATTATTTTTTTTAATTAACTAACTTATCTATTTGGATTTTTTCTTGATCTAATTGTGTCTTCACCAACTGGATAACGTCTAATTCAGCTTGCAAGGCTTGACGTCTAACAAATGCTTCACGCTCCTCTTTTTGTTGAAATAGACTGTACTTCTCTCTAAGCAGCACCTCTTGCTCATTGAGGGACTGATAGCGAAGTTCAAATTCTTCTTGCAACTGAAATAAAAAAACCAATTGCTTTTACAGAGTTTGTTCATATTTCTATCTATTTTATGGTTTACTACTCACGAGTAGGTAAACTGTGGTTTAAAATATTTTCGAATTTTTACTAGACTAAAGTCAAGTAGATTGCAGAAGAGTGACCATATATGTTAGCTGAACATTCAGATAGCAGTTTACAATTTCTAGATATGTCTCTAAACGTCAGGATATTTTAGCTGATATGTAACTGATATTATGTTATCTGTTGATAGTGTTTGACAAAACTAGGTCAGTCAATAGTTGCAGTGCTCCTTATTGAATATTGTTTATTTAATGACACTCGAAAGGTAATCCTCGTCCGGTTATTTTTAACAATTTATCAGCAAGGAACCTTCCTACCCTTCAGAAATTTAATAAATCCTTGTAAATTCCAATTCAGGTTACTCAACATCACAACCATATACGCTACGACCGGTCTATCTAGTATAAATTATCCAGTGCCAAACTTAACAATGTGTTTTAGAATCCCACAGTATTTCACCATTCATTTGAATTAATCTGTCACAAATCTAGAATGACTATCATATCACTGGATCTCAGCTAAATGATGACCCAATCATAGTTTTTAAAAACTGCAACGAACTTATATGATTCAAACAGTTTTTTGTGATTGCCCTGGATCTCCACAGGAATAGGTGGTGTTTTTAATCAACTTACTTCTCGAGAGTAATTATGTTTGAAAAATAAAAATTTTAGGGGGTTTTATAATATTCAGCCAAATAATTGGCATCATTATGCTTTAGCCACAAAAATGTGAGAACATATTTAGGTACGATGCATCACATTATTACACTTTTATTTGTAATTAAACATTTTTATTCTTCTTCTCACTCAAAAAACCCGCCAAGCTATGTAACATCTTATATCCAAGCTAATAATACACATAGTTTGAATACCTTAGTCAATTTATTCCTTAATAAAGTGGTCATAACGAATGTTCCTTTTATCATATAAATAGATATTCATTTTTACCACAGTAATATCAAGTAATAAGGTATCTTACTCGCTGTGTATTTTGAAGTAGACGTTTTTGAAATTCTTCTTCCAATTCCGATTTTAACGAGTTCAATTCATTTTGACGAAACTCTGATATCTAAATCAGTAAAAATTTTTGGCAATTCATCGTATTAAGGCGAATCACATAGGTTGAAATTTAAAAAAGCTTTGTTGCCGTATACTATTAGCATGAAATTTCAAAGGTTCCTTGCAACTAAAAAACTTGATGTGTAAGAAAAATTTAACTAACTAGACTATACACTGTGAAAAATTTATACTTCATCATGTTAATTTACTTCGCTTGAAACAGCTATAACATCTGACTGGCTACTTTCCAAGTAAAAGAATAATTCAAGTTCCATTCTTTGTCTAAAGTTCACGTTGCGGACAATAATCAGTACTCGATAATAAAATTGTACAACTCAAAAATATATAAAATCATACTTCCATGAATTCTACTTTAACTATAATCCCTGTTTAACATAAATAACTAAATTAATAAATTAGAAAGACAGATACACAAAGGAATAGTTGACAACATTTGGCAATAGCTCGTGAAATAATTTATAGTAGTCTTTTTATTACTTTACCGACTAGTCTGTTATCGTTTAATTTGATTTAACATATATTACATGTGAACGTTAAGGTGAAAAGTAAACAGCATATAATTATGTATTTCACTGCATACTATCAAACCTACTACATGGTTTATCAATTCGTCTTTTACACACTACCGAAGCTATCGTAATCCACAAACTGTAAACCAGAATATTTCTGTATTGATTGTTGAAACATATAAGTGAGACTAACTATATAAGGAGTATCAATATGAATAAAATCAGAGACGGATGGTTGCTAGTAGTAGAATCTACGACGCATGTTTCGTTCACTTGGGATTCGTCAGCTGGATTCACCTCTATCTCAGATCAACATAATTATTTTCACGACAGATGATCGCAAAGAGAACTCGAATACGTACTAAAACGAATTCCTATTTTCTTGAAGTTTTTTGATAAAGGGTGACCACTGTTAAGATTAAAATACTCGGTATACAGAGAGTTCAATTATCAGTCTACTTAGTAAAGTAATAATGTCATCCTATGTCAAATTGCAGACTATCTGACCTCAAAAATGTGAGTCAACAGTCCCGAATTCAGCCTTCAAACGAGTTGTGAATGAGCACCGATAGCTATAAACTGTTCGAAAACCTCAGAGAGTATGGCCTGATTTTCAACGAAGCTCTTAGTAACCGTAGTATATTACAAATACATTCTCTAAAAAAACTAACGAAAATACAACAAGATTGTGAAAAAGCCGATGATTTACTCGAGCAAATGATAGAAATTAATCTTGCCTGTTTCTCTATTTCTATTTGACTTCGCTCATTTATTTCACTCTTATATTGTTCCAAACGATCATCAAATGACTGTTTTGCATGCAAAATCTCTAATGACTTCATTGCTTCATATTCTTTATTAATATTGTTTAACCTGTGATCTTTGTGCACAAAATGAAAACAAAGCATATCTTTAGTTTGTGTGTACTTGCCCAATAATTATTATAAAACTATGGTTATGTTATGACTAAGCAAGAATTAAACCTGATAATTAAGCACTAGTTCCATACCAGAGCAAATGATTTACAGTCAGTATTTACTGAATGACTATTAGTCGTTTTTAATTGTGTTTGTAATTTTTTAACAAATGTTATTTCGTGAGAAAAAACAGTCTTTTGCCGAGTATCTGTCTTTTCTTCTGATATCTTTTCATTTCAGCTTACGTCAATAGTTTGATCTCCTGAGTATTCATTATTTAATTATATTGCATGACTCGATAATACGATTTATAACCATAGTACTGATCATTCTGACAAATTACAGGTTCCTCTTTATAACAAATCATAAAATTCTACCATATATCAAATTAGTAACTTTTTACATATAATTCTATATACCTCCTAATATCAGTATGTCACTTGAGAATTTTCATCTTTCCTGTTACATAGAATAGAACTATCCTTGTTTGGTATTCACAAACCTAACTGTATATTTGACATGCACTCTTTACATCATGGTGACTATCCGTTTAAATGGCCTGTAATTTGTTTATTCAATGAAGTAACATGCACCCAAAAAAGAAAGATATTTTTCTCTTATTATTTGGAGTAGTGCTAAACTTTCATGATGGCAATCACAAAATCACTAACAATGATTTTGTCAAACGATTGGGATACATATACCTAAAAAGTGATAGGAATATGTCATAAGGGAGTGAGGGTCCTCGTATGCATTGCAAATATTCACATACATTCCTTTCTGTGCGAGTCTTGTGAAAATAGGACTTATGAATTAGCTAGCTGTGAACTTACTTTTGAACATTTTACATTTACGCTAGGTATCACCTTTCGTATTCCAATCTTCCAAGTTGATGATTTCATTTGAGAACACATTAAGCTCTTGAGTGAAGCTAAAAGGTTAATGGTACTAGACTTCGATGTACCTGATATATATTGTAAAGTACGGCATATATCCTAACCCATGTGTTTTAGTTCAAACCAAGGATCTTCCTTGTTGGATTCAGTAATCACCGATGAAGCTGAAGATATTACCTGTCTAAGCACTCTTCCACCCTTACAAAATGGTAATGATGTAGTTTTATCGTTCAAGTTTGGAGATAGTGGAATAATCTATGGTCAGGCTCTATTTTGTCCAAGTGTGTGGCAAACAAACATTTCAGCCACCAAATAGTTTACTGCAGCTACAGACTGGTCGGTTAATACTAGATTATCAATTAAGGAGGCATAGTCCATACGTAAAGGTTCAGTTACCCTAGTTACATCTACTTTTATATCACGCTCATAGCAAAGAAGGCCTAATAACTCTCTACTGTGTACAACAAAAGAGATAAAGAAACTCCTTAAACGCAGGAGAATACTGAATATGTTCACTTCTACAGGCTTTGGACATTTCAGCCCTAATTACTTTAACGCTGAGAATCCATGTAAATTGTTTGCAAATAAAACTAAATTATTCCGTGGGAAACGACTAGTCCTGAATCTTCAGAACAATAATACTAATAATTTCTGGCATTCCAGACCCAGAAATATCTTTTTTCATTGGGACATGAAAAAATCAATAAAGTTGAAGCCTTGTCAAAATATTGCGATATTATTTTTCACTGACAGTAAAAAAACAGCCATTAGTTCTTAAAATCGCGCACTGTTGATTGGTTCGGTATTTATAGAGAAGAGAGTTGTTCTGTGACTACTCCAACATCTAAAATCATATAAGTCGAGTAACTCTGTTGGTATGCATCCTCAAAACGGGAGAGTTCTGACTGCTGTGACTGCAGAACCACAAGTAATTTTGATTACTATACCTTTGAATCTATCGAAAACACCAATAGGCTACAAGGATGCAATAATTAGCCTGGTCTTCAAAACAGATTGTAAATATTCAGTCAATAACTCACCCAATTAGTCAGCATAACTAGTACAAATGTTAAACTACTAAAAATAATTGTTTTGGCTACTATTCCACGCCACATGGAAAGGGGTATTCTTTTAGCACGAGAAAAACAGTTTTAAGGAAGATCTTCCATGCTTAGCCAGTTTCCTTGTAGCAATAGAAGATTGGACTGTAATTAAATACAGAAATATTCTGATCATTGTGGTCTTCATAAATCTAAGCAAAGCCTTTGACAAGGTCTTCCACCTAGGTCTCAGATTAGACTAAAATATTTCGGAATCAGTTAGAGTTGGAGATGGAATAATTGGCTCTCTCACTGACAGAAAGCAATTAGTGAAAGTGAAAGTTGCTTTAACATTATGAAAATCTACTAAGAGTAAATTCTCTCAACAGACAATCCTTTACAATTTTCTTCTTCACTTTACGTAAATGATTTGCGAGATGTTGTGAAGTTATTCGCTCTACTGTGTGACTTTAAAATACAAAGAAGAACGAGAATTAGGTCTGATAGGATCACAGAAAGACTTGAATGCATCATGAGAGTAAACAAACCAGTGGCTGTTAGGAATAAATTCTGGGTTAAATGTAGTGGTGCAAATCAGTCATTAGAACGACCTACATAACTCCACAACAAATTGAATAATATTGTCCGAAGTCGTTGGTTATAGAAATATGAGTGATAATTAGCAACGATCTCATGACTACGGGTATCCAATGCAGCCACCTTCAAACACTCTTAGGTTTTATGAACAATTCTCGATTCTTTTATTTTCACTTAGACGAAAAACGTTTAAGTTTATTATGCCCGAAGTTTACGGGACTTCATTCAGAATATAGGATTCCAATAGCGATTCCATGTTCTAAATATGATTTGGACATGCTTAAATTTATTTAGTGGCGAGGGACAAAGTTGTGAAGGGTGTCTCTGACCTTACTTGTAAAGACCGACAATTACCTATCAACCTATTTTGACTATCCTACTGTAGGCTATGTAGTAACCCAAAACTGGATTGTCAAACACTAAACGATGTCATCGGCATCAACATGTCTAAACTTTTTCTACCTCGGACTGGCCATAAGATAAGGAGAATTGTGAAACTCTAAAAGACAAAATCAAAGCGTTCGCGTCTAAAGTTTTGTTTTCCCTATCGAGTGGTGAACTATTGGAGTTCTTCATCATAACATATAATACCTGACCTTCTTTCTTCACTACTGAATACTAAACCCAATCAACTTCCCCATTATTTTAGTTTGACACTTTTAGTTTGAAATGAGTCTGAGCCAAAGGTTCAAGAAACGCATTCAAGCAAATTATAGATCGGTTACCATATTTCTGAGGAGCTCTCACTACTATTTTTCTCACTTCCATATCTTTGTTAGCTATGATATGGCACTAATAAAGTTGCTTCTTTTATGTATTCGCCAAACCCATGCTTTTGTGCCTGAATAAGAATTTCTTTTCCACGAAAATTCCGCATAAATATGTGTGCTTAGTGGAATAAGTAAGCTAAAATTACTCATATGCCGAGTATGAAAATTTATTTCCTAATGTTAAATTAACATTCCTAATCGAGCACCTATTCTGGGTTTTTGGGACTTCCGTTCACTTGTAAAATACTTACGGTTAACAACTGCAATACCCCTTTTATTCTGAGTACGACGTTTGATATATCAATTCTCACACAAGTAATAATAAAACAATAGGGTTCAACTTTTGGAGGGGCAGCTGCCCCTATTTACTAGTAAATACTAAACATCATTCATAACGTTACCTAAATCAGAACCATCTATTTCAACTGTCTGGATAGCTTTATGTTCTTTTGAAAGACTGGAGATATCTTCATAGGCTTTCAGAATCGACACTAATAATGAATAGGACTCTTTGTAAAAACTCGTCTAAAATAGAACAAGTTGGGTGAAATATATACCGTAATACCAGTCTTTCACGGCCTTCAAAACAACTATATGGCCTGAGATGCGAAATATCTTTAATGAATTCTTCTAACTGAAGGTGATTATAAATCTATCTGTTTGTTAAAACATACCTCGAAATTAGTTAGCCCAATTTCTGGCAGAAAAACACTCAGAGAGTAATCATACCCGTGAATCTTCAGATGATCTGCAACTAGGCAATTCGCCATTCTTATATTTCGATCAGTGGTTTCAGTGTCAAACTTTGTTATTGAATTATCCAAAGATCCAAACCCCAGTATCAGCTTTGACCTGATTTGAGACTGTTCATATTTTTGTCCTAATCATCAAAAATAATTTACTTTTATCTTGTCTATATCTCCTTTTTCTTTCAGTAATCTGTACACATGTCGCACGTTTTCATACTTGTCTGATCTACTCATTCTGTATATTGCGCTGTAACGATAACAAACTACAGTCAAGTTTAACCTTAAATTTACTACTGAAAAACAAACATTTTTTTAAAGGGAAGGGGAACGAACCACCATTGTAAAACATGAAGTAAGTACGTACGCAAACTCGCCGACGTTTCTGGAAACCTTTAATTCATACGGCAGATACTACAAATGATAATATAAGTCAACTGATTTATTTTCCCCCAATTCATAGTGTTCAGGCAAAGTTACAGGTGCTCGACAGCGTTCACTGTATGTATGATTGTATTTGCCCCAAAGCAGTGAGGCTGATGGAACTAGAAGCTGTCACGTCTCAAGGCAGTCAGTTAATTAGTTGTCATATGATATATTTTAGGGAGATAATGAAAATGAGTGATGAGGGAAAATTTTCCAGGCAGAACAACTATTAGGCAAATAAAAATGGATGAATTTATAAAGGCAGCAAACAAATGGTGGTGATAAGGTATAAAGTATGGTTGGTGAAATTAATAATGATAATAGTATGTAGTATCACTAATAATATTGACAATATTGATGAACGAATCGCCGGTATGATAAAGTGAAAATAGTAAACGTAAAGAGTGATTGATTCGTTATTGTACTTGATTATTCAGTAAAGGTGAGACAAGCCATGAATATCCGCTTCTCCTCTCCTTAAAGTTATCTCCAGAGATGACTGTGATAACTTCGATTGAAAGACCAGTATTGAGAAATAGTGGTACCACACAATGAATGTTATCCAGTGTTATTCAACCACCAATCATAGCAATAAAGACTATTACGACGAGTTTTAATAAAGGCTGCAATCGATCGTAGAGAATTGTCCAGGTAAGGACTTGACCATCCTGATGGGGGACCTTAACGCCAAGGTCCAAATGGACAATACCAAGTAGGAAGATATAATGAAACAACATGAACTGATTAAGAAAAAGGAATGAGAATGAAGAAAGATTTGCAAATTTATGTGCACTCAACAAAACGGTTGAAGGTGACAGTATTCCCACACAAACTCATACACAAAATTACATGGGTCTTACTAAATCACACTACATAGAATTAGATCGATCAGATTTACATCACTAAAACATCCAGAAGATAAATGGAAGAACCAGGAGAAAAGCTGACATACCTTCAAATCACCACCACCTGGTTGTGACCAACAAGGAATTGAAGCTAAAGAAACACTGGACAACTGGAGACTCAACATTAAACAAATTCTGTATAGCCTTTCTTCCATATACTGACAAACTCAATGAATTCAAGATAGCTCTCAGAAACGGGTTTCAAGCCTTACATGATCTACTAAAAGAAGAGGGAACTACTATGGAGAACAACTGGCAGAGGATCAGAGAAGCACTAACTTCAACGTGTCAGGAGATTCTAAGCCGTAAGAAGCATCATCATAAGTAATGCATCTCGGTCGAAACCATTTCCAGGACTTAAGAAAGGAAGAAGAAGACAGCAATTAACAACAGTTGAACAAGAGCAAAGGGAACCATGCCACAGACCGAGTACACAGAAATAAACAAGAGGGTGAAGAGGGCCATTACGGTCAACAAGCAGAAATATGTAGAACATCTAGCAATGACAGTGTGAAAACCTGCAAGTGGAATAAATATCAAATATGAGACGAGGAAGAAACTAACATGGAAATATCGTAAAACAGGGCGATCAGTCAGGGACAATGAATGCAAGCTCATCACCGAGATTCAACAATAGAGGAACAGGGATAACACGGAATAAATTTGACGGCTCATATGTAACTAGATAATTTACACTTCATAAATGACCTGACCCTTCTATCACATACACGCCAACAAATGCAGGTGAAGACAAACAGTGTAGTGTCCACCTTTGCAACAGTAAATCTCAAAATACACAAGGGAAAGAGAAGGATCCTCAAGGAGAACACCAACGCAGTCGCACTTGATGCAGAAAATGTGGAAGGTATGCAAGTCTTCACGTACCTGGACACCATCAGATGCAGATGTAATTGCAAGAATCGGCAAAGTAAGGACAGCATTTCTACAATTGAATAACATATGGAACGCAAAACGACTGAATACAAGCCAATGTCGAATTCAGAATTTCCAATACGAACGTCGAGAGAGTTCTACTGTACGGAGTTGAAACTTGGAAAACTACTACAACCATCATCAAGAAGCACACCTATTCATACACATTTGTCTACACAAGATACTCAATGTCCGTTGATCGGATACCGCCAGCAACAATCCACTGTGGCAGAGAACAAACCAGCTTCCAGTTGAAGAGGACATTAGGAAAAGACGATGGAGGTGGATAGGACACATTGTGAAAGTCATCAAACTGTGTCACTTAGCAGTTGCTAACTTGGAATCGGTGAGGGAAACAGAAAGAGGAAGATCAAAAAACACATTGCGTCGAGCATTGGGAGCAGACACCAAAAGGATCTCCAATGATGGAGAATGCTGGGGCCACCTATGTTCCTTCACGATGCTTATCAGGCAAATTATTCAAATCCTTTAAATTTCTGACTTTTTTCTCCCAGTATACGAGCCTTGACTGTCAGCTAAATCACATTCCCACTGCCGTTGATTAAAAATATCATATCACTTATAATTTCTAAAATTAACGCAATTAGGTATTGAATAGTAGAGGCTGTACGTAACTTCGGATAATGGGGTATAGAACTCAAGAAATACTGGTTTTTCTACAAATCATCTACTTGAAGATCAAGTCAAAGTATACTTTTAGAAGTATTCATCTCATTCTACATTAATTATTCGTCATTGGTACAAAGGGCATCACACAATAATTATGAGAATGTAAAGTGAATATAAGAAAAAGGCAAACAATAACGAACAGAAATTAGTGTATAAGAGTAAATTAGTAATAACGGGAGATGCAAATTTACAACCAGGAAGTATTCTTCTCCTTAAGGTAGTTACGTCCATTTTTTATGAAGAGAGTTATAGCAGGACTGTCACTGACTTCTATTCTGAGCCATATCTGATAACGTCCCAAGTCACTGTATTGCAACATCTCTAGGACCTGAACCAGGGACCAACAAAAGCAAGTCCTGAACAGCTTTATTTCATGCCACGACACCATGTCATACACTGACCACCTCTCCGCCTTTTCCAACCAGTCGCAGCGTCGGCAAATAGTGCAGTACGTGGAATTCTCTGGGACGACATTCGTAGAACATGTCCAAGCCACCGATGTCGATGTTTCAAGATTGTGTCACTAGATGAAGTATCGTCTCTGTGCCCGAACACACGATGCCGAACCTGTGCATCAATAACATGGTTTTGCCACTGGATATCAGCAATCCTTCGGAAATCACGTTGAGCAGACACCAAAAGAATGAATGGCGACTGAAAAAGACTTCCCAGAACAGAGTTGGATGGAGAATAATAATGGGCGACCTATGCTCCTTCACATGGTGAAGGTAATAGGCGTAAATAATACTCAAGCTTTATACAACTTGTTGTTGTAACATATTTGGATTTCTTTCCATTCCAACAATATCAGAATTTTTAGGGTAGATGGTGTGCTAACATTTCAAAATTTGTTATGTACAATCATGTATGGGGTGATTCCATAATGTGGAATATATCCCACTTAATTTTCTATATTTCCGCGACCTTGACTCAACGTGCTGACTATTCTGCATTTTGTATAGATAAACTCTTCTTCTAGTTCGCATGTCGCTCTTAATTTCATGTTGTTACGACTAAGTCAATTGTATCATCTAATCAAGAATAATATAGAGTTTTCTAGTCTGAAAGCATAATGGGTATCATCAGCGTGAATCACGGTAGCTTTGACAGTTGTTTTCCAAGAAATCACTTCAAGTAGTGAGAAAAACGGTCCTGAAAGTACACACAGTAGAAATCTGGGCGTTACTTGAAGACTATTTGTTCTTCACTTCAAATGTAATGTTCTCTTTCCTGGTCGTTTCATCAGCAAACTAACATACTTTGATTAGTTCCACTTATAATTCCATTCACAGTTCCTCACCGATCATATGCTAATGCATTTCACTGCTTTAGTTGCTACAGAGAGTATGGATGTTATTCTCTGAAGGTCATGTAGTTTAACAACCTATAGCAAATTCATGCGGTGGTTTCACCTTGTCGTGGCACTTTACTAGTAGCCACACCATATATGACAGCGCGAAAACCAATACCAGAAGATATTTGAACGTATTTATTATTTATTTATCTATTTTAACACATGGATATTGGTACAAGGAGACACCAAATACATATGCGCCACACAGATCTCATTTGATATATGTGAGGGCTGTGATGCTGCCCTGGTGCCCAAATCTGCTTCGATTTGGGCACCCGGATGGCTAGCAGTTGATCATTACCAGTCTGAGAATGCAGTCCTGATGGCTTTCCATCTTTCCCTCATCTTATCCTCTTACCTATGATCAAACATTACTCTGCTTCTAGTGGATGTAGTAATTTGTTTATCAAGCTAAGTGCCTCTAGTCTGTCGTTGATACCCTCATATATCTTTCTGATCAAATCTCAGGCGTAATTTTATCGACTGTACTTGCAGTGTCTGTTTTTTGTTCGTCACGTTACATCTATAAACATAGGTTGGCGTTTATAAGCTTCTCTCTGCTACTAGGTTAACAAACCAGATAAACCTAACAACTTATATTCCACTTACTCAAACAAATCTACTTTTCACACTTATTTTTATTTTTGTCACGTAAGTATGATCCCTACTTTATAACAACTATAAACTTACTAAGTTGGGAAGCATGCTGTGAGCCAACAAATGTAATTTGTAGATCATGCCTGTAAAAATGGCGTGTACCTGCTCATGCAGAAATATATTATTATTATTAAATTGTTATTCGAGTTCTTTTACTCTTCCATTCATACCTTCGTCGAGTTATTTAAAACTTTCATATCATATGAGCCTATCATACTGTCGTATGTTATTTTATATCGTACTACACTAATTTGCATATTTAATTTGAACACGTGAATTTATTATTTCTTTGAGATAATAACTTT